TCGATTTGGTGATTCGATTATTATTTCCAGGCATATTTATTAAAATACTCTTCGATCTATTTCTGTTGGTTCCCTCACATCTATTGAAAACGTTCATCATTGGTCTTTTCACTAAGTATGTTATTGATATTATTCGTCATATTCTTAATCAAGTTTTGTTTAATATTTTCTTCTCTTACAATAGATTGATTCAAGCAAGTGAAAATTTCAAACTTCACGATGATGTTCACAATTTCATTCTGCAAATTTTTATTGAGTTATTAGTAAATCAAACGTATCTTGATAGTTTAGCATTGAAATATTTTCGACGTTCTTTCATGCAGTTGGAATTAACGCGAATGGAAAGACAAAAGCAATTGGTTTCATCATTGAATGAATGGTCATCGTTCTTGAAGGATCTAGCAATCACTCTCGATCTAATCAATATTTTAACGAATAAAATAGAGCCTTGTCAATGGTCCGAACTATTTTTTAATGAATCAAAGGAGATTCTAGGCGAAAAACTTGCATTGACGAAAGAAATGGTTGAGACAGCTCATAAGCATTTTAATAGGACTGCCGATGAACAAGTTATGAAATTCATGAATGAAACTATCAAACTCACGGGGAATTCATTATCATGTGAATTTTTTATCAATTTTATCGAAGCTCTACCGGCTGAGTCAATCCCTGATTCGACCAAGTATGCTTCATTTACTTGCCTGTGTAATATACCATCGGTGTGCATACAAACGCGTGTAAAATTTGTCTATTTATTCAATATTTTTCTCGAAAAAATCTTACCAAAGATAGATTTTACCGTCTCGTCAGGCATCGGTTTTGTTGTAGATCGAATTCGATCAGTACGGCATTGTATATTATTTGTAACAAAATTTGAAATATTCAGTACCGCTGTAGCTGAAACTGCCGATAGTTCAGAGCCATCAGAAGTAAATGTAAAATTTGACATTGTAAAAGCCAGTCTAACTGAACATCCTGAAGATACCATGTTCTGTCAAGCATACAAGCAATTATATTGTGATGCATCCCGAACATTTCGACGAAGCACTGATGAACAAGTTTGGACGGCAAACTATGTTGGCATGTTTAGTGCCGATCAAGGTGGACCCTATCGAGATTCGGTAACACGAATATGTGCTGATTTATGTAGTACACGATTGCCATTATTTACTCTTTGTCCTAATGGACGAACAAACAATGGTTTGAATCGTGATCGGTGGATTCCGAATGTTTTCCCACCGAATCGATTCATACCAGTTGATATTAAAAATCAATATCGTTTTGTTGGGCAACTCATGGGCATGGCAATACGTACGAAACTATATTTAGATGTTCGATTTCCAATTTTACTCTGGAAACAACTGATACACGAAGAAGTTACACTTGAAGATATTGACGCTATTGATATTTCAAGTTTTGCAGTTATCAATGAAATGGAAGAAAAAATTCGAAAAATAAAAAGTCTCAATGAATGTGACCATGGTGATATGAATAGCAATTGTAACTATTTGTTTAGTAGTATTATGACTGAAGATACATTTAATGTTGTTAGTTCAACGGGACAAACTTATGAACTAATTCCAGGTGGTTTTCATATACCGATAACTCTTGGCAATTTCGAAGATTATTGTATGCGTTATCGTCAATATCGTATTAATGAATTTCATCGGCAAATTGAATTTATTCGTCAAGGTTTGTTTAGTGTCGTACCGCGGGCTTATTTGACTTTATTCACAGCTTATGAATTAGAAGAAACTGTGTGCGGGAAAGGTTTTATCGATATTCAAATGCTAAAACGTCATACAGATTATCGCAAGGATGATGAATCTTCGCCACTTATTCAGCGATTCTGGTCAGTTCTAAGTGAAATGTTTAGTGAAGAACAGAGAAAAATATTTTTAATATTCGTTTGGGGACGAAGTACATTGCCGTATAGAGATGAAGATTTTTCGACGAACTTTGTAATCACACATCTCGACACAGATGACAATGCTGATGAAGCTCTTCCAAGTAAGTTTATTTCAATTATCAAGCTCTAGAAAAATGATTCTATTCGGTCCTAGATTCTACTTTAACAATGAATCGAATTATCTATTTTCTTCTTCTTCTTCTAGGATCGTATACATGTTCGTTTACTCTTCAATTGCCTGCGTATTCAACGAAAGAAATCATGTATGAACGTTTGAATTATGCAATTACATATTGCTCTAGTATCGATACCGATAGACGAATGAACTAGATTTCTAGAGGTGTTATTATTCAATTTAAACAAGAATTTTACGAGCTCAGTTATTATGAGTGCTCTTAGAAAATCAGCTCAATGTTGCTAGTGATTGTTCATTTTCGAGTGAAATCATGCTTTTTTTTAAACCAATTTTTGATAATAAAATAAATCGAGAATATATCAACAACGACTGCTCAATATTTTTAAGTGTGTTGTGTAACATACAGATAAGAGTGTTAACAGTATTTATCGTGAATATTCTATTGAGAACATCAGCAATCTACACAAGAACTTGAGGGCGTGGGTGTGGCGGTATGAAAGATAATGCTCACCCAAAACGACACTCTTGCGTCCATTCTCTTGACATGACGTATCGAATGCTGTTTTTCGTAAAACTATGACATTTATCCTGTGTTTCATATGTTCAATACAAAAATTAAGAAGTAAAACAAAAATCGTTTTTTGTTCCGTATAAAAATGATTTATTTCAAGTTTAACAATGTCAATGATTTTTTGAAGATCGGGATGAGCATTTTTAGGACATTTCGATGGCTTGCACTCTAGTTGTAACTGCAATATTTTGATATTCTTGAGGTGGTTCTAAACATACACTAGCACATGTATGATAATGTCCGAGACATTCGACTTGTCTCAACAGTTGACTTCCACCGAGAAAAATATCATTCGGATCTTTACTCATAAGTAATTCAATTTGAGCATCAACAGATGCTTTGACAGCTGAATAATGAATAAATGAGAAAAAAGCATATTTTACTAAAATGACGTATGACAAATTATATTTTAACCGACCTTTCAAAACGCCAACTAGTGGCGTATAAGCTGTAGCACCATTGTTGATCGCTTTCGCCAAACATTTAATCTCTGCCAAACATCGTACTAGAGTATCTCCATGGTGACCATATATATTTGTGGCATCAGTAACTCCTTTATCGATGTCAATTAAAAGTTCGTTGAGTCGAATAATCTCACGTTCACTTTCAGCGATCTTGATCGGAAGAAGCTTCTCATATTCTTCCAGTTCGTTAACTATTATTTTGTATTTGGCTTTATAATCACTAAGGCATCGCTCTAAATCATTGAGCACGCTCTCTTCCGCCATTTCTTGCTTTTGATGTTCTCTAATTCGAGACATTCTTGACAAAACCATACTTTCGTAGTAGTTTTTCTCCACCACTCGATTCGGATTTTCAATCTGAAAATCAAAGAAAACAGTTTCAAAATCAGATGAGTTCGAATCAAATTGTCAAGAAAAAATTGTGCGAGATAGACGTACCATGAAAGACTTAGTACTAGTCGATGTTGTTTTCCTCCACGGTAACCATGCACTGCGCTCAATGTTCGTTGATGTTTCAGTTTTAGGAATCGAAGCCGCGATATTTTGAATGGTTTTTTCAAGTTTTTCATTGAGTGACATCATCTCCTTTGTTCGATTTTTGGTTTCGTTCAAAGCAGCAAGTGATCCCTTCGCTCGGTTCTGAGTGGCATGCATCAAATGACTGTAACGTTCCATCTCTCCTAAATAAGCTGCTTTTTTAGATAAACTTTGACAGTAGAGTCTGTATTGACAAGATATGTATCATCGCGATGGAAATAGAAACCAATTTTGACATTATTAACCTACTGTTAAATGTGAAGGCAACTCTTTGCCTGATAAGAATACTAAGCAGTGCAGGAATCCAATTTTCAAACTAGAGGACGCATATATATTAAATCATACGAAAATAAATAAACGGTGCATCAAAACTGAGGATTTATATCTGGTAATAGCGATAAAAAACGAAGAACGTAAAGTGCGAATATGACGAATTGTATTTCGATTTCAAAATGAACACTATTTGAACTCATCTCTGAGAATAATTACAGTTAGCCATGAAATAGATATCACTCTAAAATTTCGTGGCATCACTAGTCCTCTTTTTCTGCCTTGATCAAAATTTTAAATTCCACCTTTTGGATACTTCGACGATTCGTAATTTACCTCACTCGATAATATGGGGAAAGTTTTATGTTTACTCTATCAAATAGATACCTCCATACTGTGAACTTTGAAAAATTCTATGTGATTCTGTTTACAGTGGTGAACATGCGTTAAATAAGTGATTATACAAAGCGCCATATGAAATAAAATCCGATCGGCTACCGAAAATGGAATTTTATGACGTTAGTTTTAAATCAAATCGAGTCAGTATGTAATCTGAGCATCGACACCTAAATCTTTAATTGTTGGTGCCGATTACATAAAAAAATAGGAGTATATTCCACGTATACATCCAAAAATGTCTAGAAAGCTCAATGAACTAGACTTATATTCTTTTATTTGTATAGAACCATCGTAATTTCTCGCATGTATATATCAGATCATGTAGGAAATAACTAAAAATTGTCGAAACAATGCTCTGGCAATGTCTTTTTCAGTAAGCAATTTTAAATCTTCATTGTTTTTAGTAAACTGAGATGAGGTACTTAAAGGTCCGGTATACATTCATCTAAATCAGCCGAACTTACGGAAATCAGCCATCACAGTGTAGTAGTGATAGAAAAAAAAGTTCTAATGTAAAGAATTGATTAAATGTACGGATGAGTTCTTTTCTCTGCTGGTGATCAAAGATTTGACACATTCTCATTATATGATGTGTGTGTCTTGTGATACAGCACATTATGCCATTGATAATAGTAAAAACAACATTTTACCTTTTTTATGAGCAATTTCAGCATGGAATTTCTCTTCTTTTTCGTATTCTTTTCGAAGCTGATCTCCAATTTTAACTCTTTCCTCTGTATACTTCGCTGTTTCTGGACCCATGATTTTAAGCAATTTTTCAGTTTGTCCTGCAAATTCATTTAAAGCCGAACTTTTTATACTTTCAGCTTTTTCAATGCTTTTGTTTAGATCATTGAGAGCGGCGCTGACGGTGCGCTGTGCAGCAGCAACTGCAGCCGGAGAACCTAAACAAATATCTCCTGTAAAAAAACTCAATCAATAGAAAAATGCTTCAAATGCTACCTTTACTCAGCTTGACTAATTCTGCGCCATTCTTAATGCTGATAGCCAGGTCACGTACCGAAGAAAATGATTCCATGACAACCGAACGTGCCTTGACATCTTGATCTAGACTTTTGACCAGAGTTGGTATAACCTAAAAATCATTAATAAATGTTATTGATTTCTCAGACTTGTTTATGAAATGAACATTTTAAAATATCCAACAACACTTTTATTCGACGAGAACACAATTAGACTCACTTCTGATTGCCAAAATTGCCGATGTTCACTATTTTCCAGATTCGGAACATAATCTGCGACTTTGTAAGCAGCGATGACGATTTGTGCTGAATAATTCATCGACTGTCTGAGCTGTTCAGTTTCTCTTTGAATTTTGTCGTGATTGATCAGATCTTGGACTACAGTGACATCCGGAGTTCTGATCGCAACTGTCACTGTTGGACTTGTCCCGGGTTCAATCTCCTCAAGAGCACCCCAAAGGTCGGCCATGTCTATTCCTGCAGTGAAATTCAGCGAAAATATCAATAGAAAATAATTAAAAAGATTGATTCGCAGTGAAAATGTGCTCACGAATCGTAACCTATCGTGCCACGTAACTTTGAAGCAGGTCTCTTCTTTTTATTTCCCAAGTAGAGTGAAGACAAATGAATCAGTTGATTTTATTACCAATTTATATTTTTACCCAAAAAGCAAAATTTCAGTCAATAGATGCAATGGTGACGTGTTTGCTGAAGGCAACAAGTGCTGGAATCTTTCTTCCTTTTAATGGATCGAATATCTGCTTGACAGAAAGAAAACAATAATTGTGTACTTTGTATTTGTAACCAGTAATCAGTAATGATTATTTACTGACTGATCTGGGTTTTTTTAGTTTTTGCATTTTTTCCCGTGAATGGAATATTTTTTGCTGATGCGGAAAAATATTTCTATGAGGAAACATGCATCAGACTATTCAATTCAGTTAAATGTGATTGTAATATACCTAATATATTTTATCAACTTATGTTAATATCACGTTGTTTTATCTAAATCAAATCGCGAATTGTTTAACATTGTAGTTTGACATAGATTTACAGTAGAACCTCTCTTATCTGAACACTGTCGGTACTTTCAAAAATCGTTCAAATTAACAGGGTGATCACAAATGAGGGGGGTCTGTAGAAATATAGAGATTTTTTGAATGCAATGGTACTATTAGTTCACTTCTGATGAACTGTTGTAATTTATTTATATAAAAAAGAATTATTTCACAAGAAATTCATAAGATTAAACAGGTACATATTTGCAATAATCCAGAATAGATCTTTGTTTTGATAAATTAGAATCGAGGAGTGCATCAGCTAGTTTAGACTGTAATTCAATAATGAACGAATGTAATTCTGATTGTTGGATTGTCGAGAAAAGGCGCAGACGACGAACTAGATCTAAACATTCAGAGAAGGAAGATGGATCTTCACTTGGAAGGATGTGAGTGTGGGTAGATAAACGAGTAAACCGCACCCATATCCCACACCCTCCTCGTTGAGAAAAATATTCCATTGAATATTTTACGGTTAGTAATCTAGATATGACAGATGACCAATGAGTAGCACGTATTGACAAAGAACATATTGCATGCAAAGATGTAAAAACAAAAATACAAAAGACAAACAATTTTTCTCAAATGGCGCGATTTTTATTTATTGAACATGGAACATATAAAGCAAAATCTCTTCATTCACGACGAAGTCAACTTGATTCATTGACTGCATCAACATATTAATATTTCTCATACTCCAGATACACATATCTATATCAGACGAATTTATCAAAGACATTTATATGCACACAAATATTTGAGTTAGACAAATAAAACGACTTGCAAAATATTCATGTAGTCAAATGAATAATATCCAACAGACGACTTTTTTTCACTTTCGCATTATTATTTTTTTCATAAATCAATGGCTCAATTTTTGATATCGGCTATTTGTTTTATCGAAATCTAACAAATCTACTCTCAATCGTGCCAGATTTTAGTTACTTACGTACAATAAAGCCAGTTTAAAAAAATTTTCATTGTGATTTTCAAATACAAATAATATTTTAGCCTAAATCTATCGGAATATGTTCAATCTAAAGATTGGAGAAACTGTTCTATCGTATTATTAGATCTCCATACATCACAACTAGATGCTCGAAACAAACTGATTCAAAGTGCTAATGATCAACTGTTTTCTATATGAGCTTAGTCTAGTAATCCACTCTTGTTGTAAGAACTGAAAATTGTTTCTTTGATCCTATCGAGGATATAAATTATTTCATCTGTGAGAGCATTATAAAAAAGATTTACAGTATGTAATTGCTAGCAAAGAAAGTTAAGAAGTAGTATAAGAGTCAATTTTTATGTGCTTTATTTATTCATTCCTATATAGAATATATTTTATGTTGAGTTTAAAATCATTATATAGATCAATAGTAAAAGACCTTTTTTGTGCTGCATATAAACATGACAAATATTTCACTGTATTTTTAATCATGCAGATAGGTAAGTCGACTTTATTCATTTGTGTTCACAATATTTATTCATGTTCGTTTCGTTGCAAATCAAACCTGTACTACCATGTACTGCTCACTCTTCTTGTATTTGTGTAAAATATTGAAGAGTTTTACTAGAAAGAAAAATTAATACACACTTCAGGTGTAAATAAAACCTAAAACTGTTTTTCTCTATTGAGTTCAATGGCATATATGAAGACAAAATAGAGAACAGCAAGGTTTTCAATATATATTTTTCTCTCAAACTACTGAACTAGCTCAAAACGACTGGAATTCTAGATGGTTTTGACGGATGAAACGTCCCTGCAAGAAATTACACCGTTACTGATAACAATTCTTCTTTTTATAGATTTAATGCATTTTAAAAATACATGTCATCTTAATGTCTTGTGCAGATAGAAGAGATAAAATGAAATATAGATATGTAATCGAAATCTACTACATATATGCCTGTATGCTAAGTTGTTACGTTGTTCTCTTGTACAAATAATTGTATCTCGTTTGAGAATGCTCCAATAATTTTATTATAGCAAAGATATGTATGTTAAATGAAAACATAATAGGCACCCACACCCACATCCTCAAGATCATTCCACTATATGTTAGATAACATTTTTGTAAATCAATAAGTAGATTATCATTCCGAAAAGAAAATACAGAACAGTAAGATATGTTTCTCTCCTTCAATGTATAGCTGAAGATAAAAAGAATTGATGAATGCTTAGCGAATCCAAATGGCGTTCTACGACGGAAAGTAATTTGAATGTTTTTTTCCTCTTTTTATTGAAGTGCTGATTTTCATCACTGGTGACATGGTGTTGACAGGTCATGTATTCATAAAAGAACATTACTTACAATTGTCACCGTTAACTTGTATAAAAAACTATGAATCTTTACAAATTATAAGCGAAGTATATTATATTTTTCTCTATAACAAACTATTACTATGTGTACCAGAAAATTTCAGGATAGGTTCGATAAAAAGCATAGATGTCATAATACCTTTACACTGGGTATTGAGAGTTTTACGTCACAATACCCTATGCAGCAATATTTTGTGGAGTATCCATTCTTAGTGCATCTACAATCTGATGTAACCACATTAAGCGTATCCACTTTTGGGTATCCACATTTATGTATATGTATATGTTTTGAAAAGCTGAGGAATTTGAGTTGTTTTGGAGTATCCACTTTTTGGGTATCCACTTTTAGGTCTCCACATTTATATATATATATATATAAATGTGTACCTATAAATATGGATACCCAAAAATGAATACCCAAATGTGAATACCTAAATTCGGATACCCAAAAATGGATGCACCTAATGTGGATAGTGTAGCGTGTTTGTGCTAATAAATCGTTACCGGGTGTAAGGATATTATGACATCACTCGCCGTATTTGCCCGTAATACCTGGCGCAGTAATACGGCACCGTAAACGGGACTGAATTTTCATGGTTTACGGCTGTTTGTGTTCCGTACTCTCATGATAATACGGTCCGTATTACTGCGCCAGATATTACGGCAAAATTTCGCCCGTAAAATAGTCGTAAAGTAACCGTCAATGGCCGTGTACGGACCGTACTGTTCGACCTGGGTAGGATACATTGTACTGAGTACCGGTACTAAGTACAAATGTACTTAAGTATAAGTGCAAAGTACAATTTTGAAGTAAAAAGTACATGTACTTTTACTGCAAGAAATGTACTGGTACTTAGGATTTTACGTACTCAGTACGAAAAAGTACCAAGTATTGTACTAAGTATCCAATGTCTGGTCCCAATGTCCCGCGCATTGAAATAAATACAGCGAAAATCTTTTTTTTTATTCGAAATATAGCGAAATCTTTTTCTGTCTTTTCTTCGAATGCAGAACGAAAGAGAAAAATCAATGTTCCTATGTCCCAATGTCCCGCGTATTAAAACAAACATCTTTTCAGAATCTTTCTCATTTCTCTCTCTTCAATCGTGAATGATTGACACAATTAATCTTGGAAACAAAAACGTGTTTTTTGAATCTACATAATCAATCAAACTATCTCATATCACTCACTAATAGAATTTTATTTCTATGAATCACTCTCTCATAACATTTATAGAATAACGAACAATTCCAATCTCAACTAGCCTCTAAACTCTACTGCCATATATATATATGATGGATAAGTGATTAGTGAAGAAATTTTCATTTTGTAAGTTGATGTGTTAATATATTGATGAGAGACGTTTGTTGAATTCTCGTGAATAATGTGGGAAGCAGATACTAGGTAGAACTGATTGTTTTCTCGTGTTGATGAATTATAAAATCGAATTTCCTTCGTCACAAACAACATGCTATGCATGAAGTAGTATACCAGTGCTGATTGGATGAAATATCTTTATATTGAAAGAGAATCTGAAGAAAAAAATGCACTGAGCATCTGCCTTTATTAATTTACACTCTGATTTAAACTTTGTTAAAAAAATGCCAACTTTAATTCTACAACGTCAAAGCTGTATGCGATATGATATTAATAGCAATCAGAGATTGTTTACATATGATAGTCGTAGTTGATTACGATCTGTTAATCTTATGATTAAAAAATTGTATCATTGACCAGTATAATTTCTTTTGTTTCATCTTCTCGTTTTCGTTTTGGATAGATAATTAGTTGTAATTCTAAATCCACTCTGTTTTCGTTATGCCAAAGTGCATGTCGATAGAAAATTTTGTTCAAATTCATTTGAGACTCACAGTTCATACATAAACTAATTAAAAACAAGTATAGAATCTTTATGGTCTTGCTCTGAACATAATGCGACATGCACCAAGACGAAGATGAAAATCAAGATCATTCATGTTCAGAAAATTTGTACTTGAAAAAATTAATAAATAGGTGTTTTATGTTTGTTATATAAACTCTTATTGTTTCCTCACGTTGTTTGTAAAACGAACTATCAGATTCTGGAATAGTACTCCTATTTATCACTCATTTCTTAACAAGTATTAGTTTGTACCCATAATAATAATGTCTTTTGTTTTGCAGCTTGAAAAAAAGTTTTAGTAATTACACAATATGTACTATACAGTGATACTAAAAATATACATTGTCTGTATTAACACAGTGTACAAGTACAATATTGTTTTCGATTTTCATTGACGACACTGAATCTTATCTATATGCGTATTATAATTGAAAGATATGACCCTTACTCATCTTGCTGTATTCCTTTCATTTCGAGGATGATCATTGAATGCAAAGCTAACAAGAAAAAATATTCATGTAGCATTTTACTTCAGTAACAATAGCTTTATTTTTCGCCACTAATAATAGGATGAATTCTATGATGAATTGAGAGATAATTTTTGAAAATAAGTTATACACTTTTCTCTATACTACAACGATAGGGTCCAGAAACCTAATTTTCCTTATGTCTATTGGTTTATCTGTTATCTTCGCAGAATGAATCGTAAGCAGCGACTATTTCCAACTTATTTTGATTTCCCAACTCATTTAAACGCATTACTATTTCTGTTAAAACGCATTGATTTTCTGATATAGCCGAATACATGCGCTAAAGCGAGTTTATTTATTTCATATATAAAGCAAACAGGTTTTATGGAGTTGTTTTTTTTATAAATTTTGCCATTCAATGCGTCAGAACGGAGTTTTATCGTTTTGGTGTCTTCTTGAGTATACCCTCCAACTTTTGAATAGTGATAATAAAGTTTCAGTTTTCATCAGCGAAAGAGTCAACTATTTCGAAATTTTACACTTGTTCTCGTTCCTAGGAACGGGAATTCAGTTAGCGTTTCCGTTCATCGCGTTCCCGTTCTCAAGAACGGAACGCGACACTCCCAGTCGTCACATCCTTGATAAAAACTAGTTAACTTGTATTTTTATATCTATTAGCAAACGTCTAGTAATTCTTTAGAAAAATATTCATTAGGTTTAAAAAGTCATTGTACACTAGAGATGTAAGTCGAAGAGTTAAACGACGGCAGTTCGCAAAAATTTTCAATTTTTGAGAATTTCTAGCGGCTAGCGGTTCGATTTTGCAGACTCTTCAGTAGTGACCGCTTTAATTGTTTTAATCCTTTCTCAGCGACGACGTCTGCCACTAAGTTTAAAATCTATACTCTGTTTCGGAAATAAAGCATTCCTGTTTATTTCGATCCGTGTTTAGAAATTCGACTGATGAAAAATAACGAGATTTTTGTCCTTGGTAGCAATGGAGCTGCTAATCCTGATTTTTCATAGCCGCAACTGCTAAACAGTTCTTAAAACTATCTGTGGTGTAGTGGCGGTGACGACTAATATTCAAGGAAAATCGGTAGCGACGACGGCTTAGTCATATGATTGACACCTCTAATTTTAACAATATACATAATAGTTTTCATACTAAAGAAAAATATAAGAAACTACTATTCAATACGTGAATGAAAACTGGAGAACATTCATTCTGTTGCTTATTATTGGTATTTTAACTTCTTGAATTTGCAGAATTTTAGAGATTTTGAATTTTCTCCTATTTTGAAAAAATACAGCCTCATCGCACCGTTTCTGGTGTCTGAGCACGATTTTTATCTTCCCGGATTGGTTGTACACATCTCTAGTTGTAACTGAAGTTGACGTTTGGGCGTGAATATGACTAAAAACAAAAATTACATTTCTTGATGTCTTTGCAAAACTAGACATATTAGAGCACTGTCTATACAAATATTCTTTGTCTACTTAAATAAAGTACCAAAAGCGGTACACAACTCGAGTTAGCATAAGAATTCTATAATGTAACTAAAACTAGAATATCGTTGTTGAATGTTTTTGTAGTACCAAGTAAGATTTGAATGAAAACCAATATCAATCCAACTAGATGGCGCTGTGGTATCATACAATATACTAAAGACATCTATCATAAGAATATCATCTCATAGAAATATTTTCTAGAAATTAATTTTATCTGATACTAATGAATAATTTATTTTAAGGATAAATCATAAATGAAGAAACACATGTTTTTTTGTTTACCTCGGTTGCTCGCCTACCACCGGTATGGCTCTTTTGATCATCACCCATCGACAAGATGAAAGAAATAAGCAAGAGACACCCACACAACTCTTAATAAACGATGATGACGGATGAATAACTGGTGTATAAGATTTTTTTTAGATAGTCAGTTTTCTTCGTATCATGGATCGTCCAACATCCTTAGCACAAAATAAACTAAATGAATACGACAAATTACAGCAAATTCTAGATAAAGTAAGGGATCTAAAACAGTCGTTAGCTAATTTTTTTGCTGAATATGAACACGGCCAACCATCATGGCCAACAATACTCGATGAAATGAATGTTCTATCATCTCAAATAACAACATTACGCTCATCAATTCGTAATATGTTACCATTATTACGAACAAATTCTATCATTCCAATGTGTATATCACCTGAAAATGATCCTCATGTTGAACAATTAACTGAACGGCGTCTATCAATATTTAATCACGATTTTATGCCACAATTATTACGTACAAAAAATTTACCTGAAATAGAAGAACGTGAACGTTTATTAAATACAAATGCAAATACAAATATGAACAATTCATTTGGTCGTCCTATAACATCACCAAATGAAATTTACAGTCGTGTACAAGAATTAAATACTGTATTAAATTCTATCGGTGACATATTTCGGCATACAAAAGAGATGACAGATAAAAGTGAAAAACAATTCGATCTGCAACGTTTTACAAATCCCGGCGATACAAAACGTCTATTAGAAGCAATGAATAGTGGCGTTGGCCTTCGAGTACCATCAGACACATCATCATCGTCCATAACAACAAATGACCAAACAAATCTAAATCAGCAAATGCCAACACAACCACAACGGCCACAACCACCCACACTTAAAATAAAAACAACTTCGAGACCAAATCGATAGAAATTTCTTTCCATAGATATATTCATACATAAATATGTAATATAAATAAATTCATCTTTGTTTATCTTTATTGTTATAGATTAATAATCATCTCATTTATCAACGAGATATAAAATATGAAAGAAAAACGGACTTTTCTCTAGGAAAAAACAACTTTTGTTTTTCTATTCATCATATCCAAACACTTGAAACAAGCCATAAACAACGTTTACAATGAGTAGTATTACATCGACAACGGCATCATCAACTCAACGCAAACAAGCAGTTGATAGTATGAATTTGTTTTAATTTGTTTTTCCGAAGAATTGATTCTATCGATTTAGATCGGGCAGATGCAAACAATTTAAAAGTAGTAACAGTAGTAGCAACACGAGGTCGCGGAGCTGAAATATCCGAAGAAATATCTTATACAGATACGAAAGTCATCGGTAATGGTTCATTTGGTGTTGTTTATCAGGCTAAAATTGTACATTCAAATGAACAAGTCGCTATAAAAAAAGTTTTACAAGATAAAAGATTTAAAGTAAAATTTAGATTTCTTTTTTTCTCTCTAAAAACCAATAATCATTTTAGAATCGAGAACTTCAGATTATGAAACGACTTGATCATCAAAATATTGTTCAATTGAAATTTTTCTTCTTTTCATCGGGTGACAAAGTAAATATTTTGTATTTGTAACGAAATTTTCAAACTAAAATTTTTATTCGTTTTAGTCAAAAGAAGAAGTTTATTTAAATCTCGTACTGGAATTCGTACCAGAAACAGTGTATCGTGTCGCACGCCATTACACAAAACAAAAACAAACCATTCCGCTCCTATATGTCAAAGTATGAATCAGATTAATTTTCTCGCGGTTTATTTTTAGACAACCCGCGCATATTTTAACTATCGATAGTCAGAAAAACAACAAACTTTGTTGTCTTATGTTTTCATTGCTCAATGTAGCACGCAATTAGTAAGACAGTATACAAATTCAAGTATCTGGCAGTCGTAATAGAAATACGAATTGCTTAATCGTTGACTAAACTATAAACAGACGCCGTGATTGCGTACACAATTCGTTCTCTGGTACTATTTAAATTACTCTTTTCTACGTTATCTATGCAATATTTGATTGAACACATGATTAGAAAAGTTCATCTTTGTAGAATTAAGATATATTTAGAAATTATCAATGTGTTTACTCAAGTATTAAGACTAATATTTTTTTAACAACTAAAACATCCTTCATGTAAATACATGATGGCTCATAAATAAATGTCTATGTCATAATGTTTACTACGGAAATATAATTTTTTTGCAGGCTGTAATAAGTGCACATCGTTTGAGCATGAAAGAAAAAAGATGATACAATCTTTTACATTTCCTATTAGAGAGAAAAAAATCCCTATGAACTTATTAAGAAAGTTATGTGTTGAAAATCTTCAATAACGAATAAATTTGTCTTCATTTTTAGTTGTATATATATCAATTATTTCGCGCTTTGGCGTATATACATTCATTTGGTATTTGTCATCGAGACATTAAACCTCAAAATTTATTACTCGATCCGGAGACATCCATATTAAAACTATGCGATTTCGGAAGGTAGAAATAAAAAACTTCTCTTTTCAAATTCAAATTTTTTTTTCAAGTGCAAAACAATTGATTAAAGGTGAACCAAATGTTTCCTACATTTGCTCACGTTATTATCGTGCACCAGAATTAATCTTTGGCGCCATCGATTATACATGTTATATAGGTAAAAATCGAGTTTTTTTCTTCTTTTATTGAATATGACTTATCATTACGCGTGATTAGATGTTTGGTCTTCGGGATGTGTTCTCGCCGAACTTTTACTGGGTCAACCAATATTTCCTGGTGAAAGTGGTGTCGATCAATTAGTAGAAATAATCAAAGTGTTAGGTACACCAAGTCGTGAGCAAATTCGACAAATGAATCCGAATTATCAAGAATTTCGTTTTCCACAAATCAAAGCGCATCCCTGGCACAAGGTCTTTCGTAATCGCACGCCCCCGATGGCCATTGATCTTGTTTGTCGATTACTTGATTATACGCCACTTACGCGATTGACACCACTTGAAGCTTGTGCACATGCATTTTTCGATGAACTACGCGATCCCGATACACGATTGCCTAATGGTCCCCTACCGCCATTGTTTAATTTTAGCCAGCAAGGTTTGTCTAGTTTTCGAGTTAAATATTCTTTTTGTCTTCAAAATGAAATTTTCTTCTATTTAGAAATAAATATAAACCCATCGCTCAATTCACGTTTACAATCTTCACATCTGCAAGGTCAACAAGCTGTATCAACTGGTGGTAATGCTGCTTCGTCAACTAGCTCAACAGCTGCAAATGCGGCAGCCACTGGTGTTAATACAGCAGGAACCTCAGCCATAACCCCGAATGCAAATGAAAAACCCATAACACCGACAAATAATGCAACGAATACTCCGCCACCATCAGTTTTACCAACGAATGGATCCGGCGAAAACAATCCTATGAATACAATCGATGAACAAACAGCAACAAGCGGTGATTCACTCAATAAAGATCGCTCTTAAACGATGTTCTATTTTTTGTCTGACCTAGTTTTTCTTTTATTCTTCTTGATTGTCGTATATATATATACGTGTGTGCGTGTCTATGTATCAATGGCTTCTCGTAATTCTTTCTTATCATCTGTCGACGAAAAGATCATCATTGCTGCTCGAATTTATTTTACAACAGCGAAAGAACATCTTCATGTGTTTGATTAGAATAATTATCGTTCAGCTTCACTATTTATCTTCACTGTCGCATCCTTTTTTTTCTTCGTCTTCAACATGCTTTTGTACACTACTTTCTTCTGCTCGTTTTTTCCCCTTATTGCCCGAGACTTGTTCTATCCTCGTGTGTTTGTGTTTCTTCTATATATTTTTTCTCACATTCTTGTTGCTGTTTTGTGTGTGTGTGTGTGTGTGTGTGTTCATTTGACTATCCACAAAACAAAATGAAAAAAGAACAGCTTTATTATCTGCTGTCATTCGCGTTATATACACATGCACATGCGTTTACATTGCCTTGTTTCTTTTTGTCCTTCGGTTCCCTTTTTTTTCTTCGTTTTTCTTTTGCTGTCTTTGGCTTCGTTTTATTTCTTTTCAGCACATATACATTACAGAAAGAAAAAGTCTGCAGCAAAAATAATGAACAAAACTGAAAAAAAATATACATAACTTATTAATCTTGCCCTTTCATACAGTGCATTATGTTTGCAACAGGAGAAACACAATTATGAAATTGGTTCTTGTTTGTCAATATGCTTTTTAGTTATTCTGTTGACTCAATTATAGCAACGTGTATTTGACATTTTGTTCAATATCAAATTTTTCGCATGTGAGAATCTATGGATTTGAAATTGTTCATGTTCTTTTTTTTTTATACTATCCCATATAAAAAAAGCATTGGATTAATATAATCAGATTAATAATCTATCATAATGGCACCTTTATAATCTGATTTTAATCAGATTTTTCCGTCTTAAAAGGCAGATTATTTTTCATTTTGATTTTGATTTTAATTGATTACCTACAAAACTATAATAATCGATTAAAATCAAAATGAAAAATAATCTGCCTTTTAAGACGGAAAAATCAGATTATAATAGTGCCATTAAAATGGATCTCTAATCGCATAAAAATCAATTATAATCAAATTTTCTATGTTTCGTTTTCGCATGGGATATGCACCAAGTCAACCGACAAACATATTGCATAGTAGAGCTTGCTTAAGCAGCACATATACGGCTTGCTTTATTTATCTTTACTATAAAAAACAACAACTGCGGAATATATTTGTAGTTGTATATTACTCATCCGATTGTTGGGTTTGATTAACAAATAAAGCAGAACCGATAAGAAAATGTATAGTAGATTGCAATTGTTACAGAAAAATTAATGGATTAAACGTATAAACAGCATAGAAATGTATGTGTAAACAAAAAATGACAGGGTTCATAATGAACGTTATGGATAGATTTTATGATAAAGTTGGTTGTTTATACTAGTTTTGTTTTGCGGAAAGTATCAATTTATCTTGTCACTTTGAGATTGGTATACATATGCGGATATTCGAAAACCTGGAAATCGAGAGACATCTTTCGAAATATCATAATCAGGCGTAACGAGAGGAGTATACTTTTTAAACAGTGACTGCCGATGGCAGCCAACTCAAATTAAAATTATGCTTCGTAATCGGTTGTAAAATGATTTATATTTGGCAAATTCCTCGAGATATTTATGTATGTAATAAAAAAATATTTCGTTCTAACGTTTACTTTTAGGATTATGTTACTTTGACATTAACGAATATTTTTTATTATTATCATACTTTAACAACGGTAATTAATAAAAGTTAATTGAATCATCGTGAAAAATCGAATTTTCTTAGATTTCAGTCCGACATTGTCGTATTCTATCTGACAGTTCTCGTCAGTTTATCTCGTGACTATTTATTGATACTAATAGTCGGAATAGCCATTGCGTGCAAGTCTACAAAAATTTATTATTTTAGCAAAACATAACATTTAAAAATTCAGAAGAAATTTAACATTTTTCTTTTGTTTTATTTCTAAGTGACTTTTTTATGCATAGAACTTTTGTATTTAACCGAATGGTTTATTGAACTGACATACAAAGAGAAAAATGAATAACGATGAAAGATATCATGATCGAATCTATTGTCGATCGCTCATACATAGACGTCAAAAGGATGAACAACAATTTACCATCTTTCGTCTGAAAATTCATTGATGTTAATTTAACTGAAACTGATTGACGTTTAAAACTTTTTTGACAATTTTTGAATTCCGTTGACAATCATCAATAAAGATACGGCTCATGCTTTGTAGTAAAAACAAAATCCCCATTGAAATATATTCTATTGCGCATGGCCTGTTTGGCGTTTTAGATTAGCACAATGCAGTGGAGTGTTACTTCTGTGATTGTATTTCTGCTTATTGATGGGCATAATTCTCTAGAAAATGGTCTCCTAAGAAAACCCCCTATGGTAAAATTAACGTAATTTTGTTCGTCAAATAATTATCTGTTCTGCTTCTTTTTATCTCTAAGGGTTGGTTAACATGGCAAAGGTTTCGTTGTGTAACTGATTGTCGACAATTTCCGGATACATGTATTAGGTTCGTTGATATTAGAAATTTTTGTTCAAAAAGAAATATTCAATGATAATTTTTCCAGTGAAAAATTAATTCGAACTCAAGCGAAGTTATTAGTTGATGGTGGATATTTAGCTGCTGGATATGAATATATTATTATTGATGATTGTTGGCTGAATAATACACGAGCAGCTGTATGTTGAAATAATCAATTATAGACAAGAATAACTTCATCGTTGTTTAATAAATAGGATGGTTCATTACAACCCGATGACGATCGATTTCCAAGTGGAATTCGTTCATTAGCTGATTATGTGCATTCATTAGGATTAAAATTTGGTATCTATGAAGATTATGGTACACAAACATGTGCTGGTTATCCAGGTGTTTTAGGACATTTAGAACAAGATGCTCAAAGTAAACGGTTTCTATGTTAAAAAAAGACGTTTTAACCATCCATCTATGCTAAATATTTTAGCATTTGCTTCATGGAAAGTTGATTATCTGAAATTAGATGGCTGTAATGCTGATATCAAAGATTTCGACACTGGTTATCCATCGATGGGACATGCATTAAATGCAACGGGTTATCCAATAGCGTATTCATGTTCGTGGCCAGCTTATCAAGAATTTTCGAAAATGAAACCAAATTATGCGGCTATATCTCAAGCATGTAATCTATGGAGAAATTGGGGCGACATTGATGACTCATGGGATAGTGTTTACTCAATAATACAATGGTTTGGAGATAATCAAGATCGTCTAGCACCATTTCATGGTCCAGGACATTGGAATGACCCTGATATGGTAATAGAAATGAGTGGATTACGAATCAGTTGATAAGAATTTTGTTTTAGATCGTCGTAGGTAATTACGGTTTAAGTCCGGGTCAATCTCGAGCACAGATGGCACTTTGGTCAATTATGGCTGCACCACTCATACTTTCAGTTGATCTAAGAGCAATCAGCGAATGGGCACGTGAGATTATTTTAAATAAAAATTTAATTTCAATCAATCAAGATCCACTTGGACAAATGGGACGACGTATTGTTAAAGTAATTATTTTCATTTTTAGTTTCACTCTGAATATCCGCGTTGTTTGAATTCATTTTCTAAGGAATTATTGATATGATTAAGAAAAATTTCAGTATTCATTAAAACATAAAGGTTTTTTTTTCGGTCACCGGTTCCAAAAAATGTCAGCGTATATGTCCGTATTTTCTCATGGGGATGAATACTTTCAGCTCATTTCTATTCACACGACTTTGTCCTTGTGGACTGAGTATAATCTCAAAAAGTAGGTTTGAGTTCGATTGATTCTCTTGAGAACAAATTTTTATTCTTCACGGACTCTGAATCCAATTAATTTGTTGTTTTTTCTCTTTTCAGCTCGATGGTAATGTTGAAATCTGGAGTAAAACTTTGATTGATGATCGTACTGCTGTGAGTTTTTATTTGAAAAAAAAATTAGATTCATTTTTAATTTTGATAGTTTGTTGCACTTTTTCCTCAACCATACGGCACGCCCATTCAACTAAGCGTAAATCTTACTGATCTTGGTTTAGGTCGTTTTGATGAATATGATTTCTTTGAAACATTTCACGGCGAATTTCTTGGCAAATATCATAAAAATGAACGATATAGTTTTACAATTAATCCGTCGGGAGATGTGCATGCTTTTTATGTTGAATCAGCTATTGCAAAAACACTTCGTTTCAAAGTATGAACTTACAGGCTGGTTAGAAAACGCTTGTCTTTCCTATATAAACTTCATTACTCTTAAGATGGTGATACTTTTCTGTTTTCTTTTCTCAGCTCGATTCTGGTGTAGACTTTATTATTTAAAAAATAAATAAATTGATAAGAAAATATTTGAACTTCAGAAATGTACTTAACATTAAGTCGATAAAATAGTATTTTTAATCCGCATCTAATTAAGATGCACTTGCACGAAATCGTCTGATACATATTGGCGTAATTCCTGTTATTCATTAATGAAAACGACATGGTCCTATTATTTGTAGGTATTTAATGGTGTATGTGAATGTACTTATTAGGAATTCGTCTAGGGACAAAAGAAATCTCTTTAACCGGTTATGTTTTCGCTTGAAGTTGTAATCAATAAATCTGAATGTAAATCTGCTCATTGGCGGGGCCACCTGTTCGAAATTGTTTGTTCATAACAAAAATGAAGGCTTTGAGACTCAATTGTTAATCATGAGCATCGTTGCCTTACTGGATCAACTCAAAAAATATATTCATCTTTGACCTAGATATCTCTATATCATATGAAAGATCATGAGCCGGATAAAGAATAAGATTGTGCTTTTAAATAGTTTTTCTTAAATATCGATAGATAGATATGGGAAAGATATAATAAGTCATATTACGACAACAACAAGAAAAGAATCACTATGAATTCAAGCATATGAATAGAATTTTCACGAATTTGATTTACATAAAGTATTGGAAATAAACAAAGCGCATGAATGTCTATTATTTTCTATCTGACCGAAACATCGGAAATAATGAATGAATGACCACACGATTAATTATTGGGTCCATGGAATTCTTGGCTTGGTGATACACGGCGTACTCCATTGAACGTTCCATTTGAAGCACTTCTCGGCTCTGTCATAGATATACTATTATCATTATATGGCCTACTATTGTAAAAAGAATTTGTTATAGGTTGTTGACGATAACCTTGGATAGTTTCTAATTGTATTTGATCGTTTCCGCGTGACACACCATTTTGTCTTCTTTCGATACCTGGTATAGGAACACGTTCGTCTTGTGGTAAACGATCTTTTTTTGTTTCGTCGACTGTTTCACAATAAACACCGAAACTCCATAAATAAGTACCCACACGTACTGCCTAAAAAAGCAACATTTTTCGCTTAATTTTAAATGGAAATTTATTCTATGAAAATTTACTGCAAAAATAGCAATGCATAAACCAACTATTGCGCCACCGATAACATCTGTTGGATGATGTTTAAAATCTATAACGCGTGACAGACACGTATAGAAAGCGATTGCTATACAAATACATTGTAGGAATGGTTTAAGAAATTGAACTTGCGGACAAACGAGACGTGCTTCGAAATAAACCTGCAATGAAAAAACGAAAGTTATAATTTAGTGGAACTATAATCATATAATTACAAATAGAAACACAAATGCAAATGTTGAGTAACTTGCATGCCCCGATGGGAATGATAATCGTGCTTCTCGGAGATCTTTCTCTAATACAGTTGCATTACAATTATGATTCGTAATATATCTAATGTAATAGATTTATATATCAATAGATTTAAATCTCGTTTGAGAAGTGATATTTACTGTGGAACAGACACCGGACCACTGAATGATAGTATTATCTTTGTACATTCAATATTAGCCCAATTAGGATCACAGAGAGTTAAATAATAGGGTCTCAAACGACCTATTGTACCTATTGAAATTGTTATAGAATTAGTTTTTGTCGGAAAATTTAAATTTTATTTTTGCCTTACGCTTGCCAACTTCAGTAATTAGAAAACAAATTGCAATGCCAAGCCCAAAAAGAAATATTGTTTGTAAAATCGTTTTGAGATAATCAATACGTCGCCGTTTTATATTATTTGAACTTGATCGACTACCACACTCAAACGGACGGACTACCCAAATTTCCACAATGCAAAACTATAATTGAAAAAAAAACAGTCCTATGTAATTTATAGATTTCAATCAATCTTTTTTTTGAATTCAATTCGCATGAAATGCAATTATTAGAAGGAGCTAACATTTAATAATATTTTATTTGTAAATAACTTATTAATTTTCTTACGACAGTCCCTATATTGTGTTGTATATTATAGTCCCTTGAGAAATACATTCACTTTTTTTTTTATTATAAAAGTACTACTTTCTTGAGTAATATTATGATCTATATTCTCGGTGCTAACAAGAAGTATTGATAGAAGAGTTTTATCAGTCAATGAGACGAATTTAGAATTGAATCCTTTGAAAGATAGGCTCAATTCACGAAAGTGATCGTATTGAGTGAACACCAAAACCTTCTATTGTAGAGAGGAGCGGGGCAACGTCTCACTCACGACACCAGCATTGTATTAATTGTTCATCATCATCTAATAAAAAAAATTTTGAATTTTCTATGCTTACAATAATAACAGGTCCCAGGCCTCCATAAACTCCCAGTAGCCACATCGGAATTGTATCAGGCTTAATTGGATATCGAATTGATGTATCATCACAAAAAAAACCTCTTGACGATGGTTTTGCTAATGAATAAATCAGCCCGAAGATAATAGCCGCTAGAAAATAGGTCCAAAAAAATCAAAATCAAATATCGATTCATGATCTCTGTTTACATACTAGCAGCTATTGCTAAAACATCAAATAGATTATTCAATAATTGACGTCTTCGAGATCGTTTTGGTCTGATTTCAACTTCTAAATCTTTACTTCGTCTTGTATTTCCACCAATTTTGTCCATGGCAAAATTTACTTCACTTATTGGAGATGATTCTAAACAAGCAGAATAAAATTTTAAAATAAAAGAACTTCACTTTTTAAAATTTACAGTTGTTAGGTGCTGGACTAACAACGAGAAGATATGACCACAGAACGGAGAAAAATATAATCTTTTCGTGGGATTCGAATCACACATTCTCTGCTATCCGGGCAGATGTACTACCGTTATACTAGAAAAGACAACTTAATCTCCGTTTAGAATTGTAGGGGACCAGTACAATGCTAACAACAGTTAAAAAGAAAATGAATTTTGAAAGAAAAAAAACGTCCTAGACACCTAAATTCACACTTTCATTTACAGTCTTTTTTACTGAGTTCTCTGTGTTTCAATATGCAAACTGTAAAGCAAATAGAATGCCTGAGAAAACAAAGAGTGCTGTTTTATTGTCATTATCACATACTTAGGGAAATGTAATATATTCGCTTGTCATCATTATTTCTTGTTCTTTGCATTCATAACACTTAGAAAGAAAAAAGAAAAAAAAGAGAAAACATGAAACTATGGTGTTCGTCTGTTTCTGTGCTAATATATCAAAAAAGTACTTTATGCTTTGTTAGTTAGGTTTTTTCCCACGCAATTTTAACCCTTTCCGGCCTGCTGTTTGGAAATTGCCGTACCCCCCCCCCATAGGGGAAAATGTTGCCATATGGCAACACCGGGTCGGAAAGGGATAAAGAAAACAAAACTGAATGTTGATCTGTGTATCGTTTAATAGCATAATTCTATGTAGTGATTTTAAACTCGAAGTAAAGTTATGTCTTATGTAGATCAATATGAACTGTCAATAATTAATTCAGGGCGTCACTACTGAAATATTGAAATTTTACTGTCATTTTTTAGAATTTAATGCAGCTCTGAGAAGAAAAATCTAGATGGAATTAAAATTATCTCTTCGAATACCATCTGGAATAACGCCTAACTGGCTAGAAAAAATACGTCATCGTTGCAGAATGCAGATAATTAGTGCCAAAGTTTTTCCACCAATAGAACAGAACGTAAAAACATTTAAATTGTAACAATTTGACAGTGTCAAACGGGCGCATTAGAAATATTCATAACGCATAAGAGTCTATATGATACTTGGAAACATTCTCTAATGGAAAAATAAATTACACCATTAAATACGCGAAGGTGCCTCATAGTTTAAATAACAACAGACGGTTAATTAGTTTCTATGAGTATTTTACGATTGCATAAATAAGAGATTCAAATTATTCACAAGAGCGAAATATGAAAGCATTGAATCCATCGAACTTTAACAATATAAATACCGATTGTAGGACGGAGACAATAGACCGATGAGTTTGATTGATCGTTTTTTGTTGCTGTTAAATATCTCATGAGAAAAGCTGTATCTTACTTTGCAAAATCACGTTATATTCATCAACTGATAACAGGTCTTTGTTATGCTATCTGTTGCTATGCAAACAAATTTGTTGTAATATTTTTCTATGACGTTTTCATCTGAGTATGATTGCATAAAATTACCTGTTAGTTAGACAGCCGGATAGCATTCAAATGAATAATAAAAATTAAGAGACATTTTTATTCTTACATCTGATAAGGAAAAAAGGTGAAGCGGAGGAATGAGTATAGAGTAAAGGACAACCTGGTTTAGTAAATATGCTTATATCAATATTTGAATCAGCCATTGTGTTACGTACCGACTTTTTTTTGAAATCCAGTTGTATGTTGTATTTGTCGATCTCTTGTCGGCAGATTGATTTGTCTCCGTTCATTGTCAGGATGATTTGCACGCGGTCTTTCGTACCCATTTTTATCGAAATAGGGCGGTGTAATTGGTCGAAATGAATAATTCAATGGATTGTAGGCAGGCGTCTGTCGACTTGGCGGATACTTTTCAAGAACATAGCGTTTTCTTGTAGCTGAAGAAGGAAAATATAAATCAGATTTAAAATAACGGTTGCAATCAACTGAATACATCCTTCAATGTCTATGTCTTTAGTTTTACTCGAAATGATCCATGAAGCTCGTATATTTAAATAAAATTGAACTGAATTTACATTTACTCACACGTAGTCAATTCGTTAGAGGGAGAAATCATATACACAATAGGTTTCATCTTTTCGCTTTTTTAATCTATGTCATCGATTTTATCGATGATTGCATTTCGTACAACCTTCATGTTTGACATTTTATGATGATTACATTTATGTTATCTAAAACATGATTTCTTTCTACTTAAACACTTAGCTTGCGTAATGACTTCGTATTGTTTCTTACGTGTAAGATATCTTATTGATGATCTCTCATAATCGACTTAAGTTTCATTGGTATAGCAAATTTATAAGGATTCAGTTTGAGAACGATATATATATGTCGATTCTCAAATTACTAATGATTTTTCTATCGAGATATAAAATATTGAACATACTCTGGGAAACGTCGATGCTGGTAAAACTCTAAAAAAAAGGAATATGTGAACTAGAAATTTCGTCAAAAAAGTCCTCGAGAAAGGTTAATCTTGTATCGTAGGTCGAGTCCTTTTTACATATTCATAAAAATGATCTCCTTGATGAAGTGCGCAAGTAACCTATACAGACGCTTCAGAACAATAATCGTACGACGCGGTAAAATTGAATTCATGGCATATTCCAAAGTCTGATTACCGATGAACTCTAAGGAGTAATGATTGCAATATTTTATCTTATTTTCATTGATTCAATTCCCTACAAAAATTGCACGTAAGCGTGTCGCATAGCACTATAATCAAAAAACATAATTGTAGAGATTCGAATGCTCAATATTTTGAGCAAAAAAGATGTTGCAGTTCTATTGTTTTATGAGGCCATTCGTTACATGAAAATCGAACTCTCGAGAAGGTATTGAAAATAAATAAAACATGTTTTTGATTTTTTATGTAGCTGTAAAGAAAACGATTTCAGCAGAAATTGACCACATCAGTATCAGAGTTAGCTTTGACATAAGTTCTTTTTGTTCTATACTTGACTTAACATGAAGTTTATTCGATGAATTGTCACTATAGAAATGTTTACGTGACAAAAATAAAAATATTTATTCAAAGTCACGAGTGTCAAACATTATTTTGAAAATTTCGTATTCAAACATAAGAAAATAATTTCATTGGAGACATAAATAATGTTCTCTCGCTAAAAATTGTTTTTCTTTCCACCATGCATTCAGCAATTTGCTTGTTCCTGACTAATTAACGGTTAATACGGTGGTCGATAACGATCACCTGCTTTATTTAATTATTTTTTCCGGCTAAGAAATAAGGAAGTGGCAAAACAGTGGTTACCGCTCTCTCGGGAAATGTTTATTTTTCTTTCACGCTCCCTAAATCAAAAAGAAAAGCAGACTATGCTACATTGAATAAACTTCAACGAGAAAAATCAGTTGTTTTTGACCTACTAATAAGCTATCATTTCCTGAGTGCATTAATGAATTTCCTTGTCGTATATTTTCATGATATGGCATGTTCTGCGAAAGTTCCTAGAAGCAACAGCTAATACTCTTGTAATAGATTCTGCATAGAGCAGTCTAATCAAACACGAAAATAAGTAATTCATATGAATATATTATAATAAAGCTATATAAAAATATCGAAGCGAAGGTGAGGTTTACCTGAATAGTCTATTCATGTGAAAGATGATTACTGTTCTAAAATAAATCTTATACACGAAACTCGATATTTGTGAATTCGTATCGGTTTACATCTATTGCAATACAGTCGAGCTAATGGAATCCTAACATTCGACAACAACAAAAAACCTTACTACGGATAACTATTAACATACCTAATGGTTGACAATAGTAGCTATTCAATCGATCCGATACCATGTCAATAATGACCATCAATAATGACTTCTCTACCGTTCTTTCTTTCTCTCTCGCTCTCTCTCTCTATCTCATTATCTATTGATCATATATCAACATAGTTCATGCTAAATATTAGTTTACTAACACGAACCGACAGATACATAATTCAATTCAAAATGGCAAGGTCATTGAACGATTTACTTTTTTTGTTTGGATATAAATCACTGGACGGTTGTTCTGTCTCTTTTTTATCATGATTTTCTTGATTAATACCGGATAAAGCACGATCAATTTGATTATATCTATACATTTAAGAATAAACTCTATGCACACTTTATGGTCGAGTTTTTATTCATTAATAGAAGAAAAATATTTTTTTTTTCGTTGAAAAAAGAGCTGATTTACTCTTCTACGTACACTGTTGCGCAGGCGTTTTTGTTGTGTTCTGTTGTTTGTGGTTGTACTTGCACAATCAGCATGTAAGCACAGCCATGTTGAATTTTTAACAAGAAAAAAAGGTATATATATATACTCATATTCTCAGTAGTTTTTATCATACAAATTCAAGTCTTGAACATTATTCAATAATAAAATGTGTAGTGAAGCCTCAAAAGTACTTCTTGCTGAAACATGGTCAGAAGATGTAGATCCAACCGGCTGGTGGATGAGTGAAAAACTTGACGGTGTTAGGTAGGAAAAAATGTTTTGCTGTAAACATGTTTTTATTTTTTATGTTCTCTAGGGCATATTGGAACGGAAAGAATTTTTATTCTCGTCAAGGCAATCTTTTTCATGCTCCGGATTTTTTCAAAGCTGCTCTACCAAAAGTACCACTTGATGGAGAAATCTGGTGTGAATTTTATTGTAAAGTGTGGCTGTAATTTGTATTCTTGTTCTTTTTATTGTATAGGTGTGGTCGCGGTTTATTTCAAAAATGTATTAGTATTATTAAAAAACAAGCAGATAAAGTCGTTCCGGATGATTATAAACTTTTGACATATTTAATATTCGATGCACCCAGTCATGGCGGTAAATATGAGGATCGTGTTAAATGGTTACAAGCTAATATTCCTCAAGATGATGATAAATGTTTTGCGACAGTAGTTGGCATAAAAAAATGTGAAGGCTTAGCACAACTCAAACAATGTTTAGCTGATGTAAATAAAGCTGGTGGAGAAGGCATTATGCTTCGCAAACCCGGCAGTCTGTATGAACACAAACGTTCAACAACATTACTCAAAGTGAAAACTTTCTATGACGAAGGTAAGTAAAAAAATTACATGGCAAACTATAAATAAATTTTAATTGTTTCTAGAAGCACTTATTATTGGGCACAAACCTAGTAAAAGTCTAGTGGGAATGGTTGGTGCACTTCAGTGTGAGCTTCCCAATGGAAAACAATTCGATGTTGGCAGCGGACTTACTATGGATCAACGTCGAAAAGCACCGAAAATAGGCTCGGTTATAACATTTAAATTTCAAGAACTATCAAATAATGGTCATCCAAGATTTCCTGTTTTTCTTCGAGTTCGCACGGACTTAACATGGAATGATGTACTCGAAGCAGCTAAAACAAAAAAACCAATGAGTGTCATACAAAAAATAATACCGTCAACAAAGTTATCTAAACAACATTCTATATTATTTTCTGTCATTCCATCGCGCGATGTCAGTACAGGAAAAAAAATAGTTACGTCTGATGATGAAGATGATGATGCACCAACCACAGCAGCAGCAGCAGCAGCAGGAGCAACAACAACAACAAAACCTTCAGATACACGAAAGATATGTCAATACGGTGCTAAATGTTATCGAACAAATGCTGATCATTTTAAACAATTTCAACATCCACCATCGAAAACTGCCACTAAAACAACTGAAACTGAATCAAAAGCAAAACCAATGTGTACATTTGGTACCAAATGTTATCGTACAAGTTCAGCGCATCTAGCCATGTATTCACATACAGCAAAAGATGAAACCGAAGAAGAAATTCTGGATACTCGGGATTTAATCGAACCTGATGAGCCAGCATCGCCAACGGCAATTGATGCTGTTTTAGTGAAAGATAAAAACAAAGGTCTTACATTCGATGATGACGATAGTAATGACAATCAAGATCAAGAAATGATTTCACGACCGAAAAAAGAATGGATAGAACTAGAAAACAAGTTGACCGAACAAAGTAAACGTCTAGCTCATCTCGAAGAAATGTTCAAAACAACGAAACGATCATTATCAACGAACGATGATGCAAATGATGGCAAACGTCTTAAAACAGATTAACTGTAAATAGTTCAATAGACATCAAAAAGAAAAATGTTCAGTTTTTTTTATTTTCGTTGTATTGTAATTCTGTTTTAGAAAAGAAAGAAAAAAAAATGAAAAGAAAAGAAAAAAAATTCTCATCATTTGAGACACATATACACAAACAAAAGAAGAGAAAGCAATAATTATAATAATAATTTAGAAGACAACAAATACATAAAAATAGAATAGAAAGAAACCATTTTAGTTTATTTTTCTTTCATTTCGACAATGATTGTCATTTAAAGAGAAATATTTTCTTATATACACACAGGGATTTGCGCAAGATAGGTGACTAGAGTGCATAGATATATGGCATATTTATGTGTGGTACGTGTGTTCAAGGACGAAACAAAAAAAAGAAAACAAAAACACAGGGATATTGGCAAATGTCATATTCACTGTCATACCGTTTGTTTGTCATCATTTGTTCCTTCTTCTATTATATCAACGACATCTTTGGGTGGTTTTAAAATTTGAGAATCATCCGCTAGAAAATCATTTGCTGAACTATGTTCATAAACAGTCATTAGATTATTTCGCTGATGTTTTAATTGATTATTATCATCTTGACTTATTGGAACATCAACTTCCGAACGATTGCCTATTGATTTTGGCGATTCATACATATTGGAATGAAGTACAACATTATGTTGTAATAGTAGAGGTGGTGATTGATGTTGTATCACATTTGTTGTACTAACTGGATGATTTTTTGATAAAGAATCACGCGGTGTTGATGAAATAGGTCGTTGAAAATCACCGAGTTCTTCATCGATTTCATCATCATTGATATTTGGATTTTTATTATTAGCACGATCCTATAAAACAATAAAGATATTGTTTAGTCATTAGTATTATTTTCTTGTTCGCTAAAACAATTCTGTCAATCAATATCATAGAAGTCCTAAGTTCAAGGTCAATGTTGACTGCCCAAGATTATTTATAAGTCTTCGAAAAGAAATCAAACCAAGACACCTCTCAAAATGATCTATATAAGGAATGTACTAAGAAAACCTTCCTTTTTCTTTTTGTCCTTAATCATTATATATTCTAACGGAAGAGATATACATTAGTCTACGCTTGAAAATTGATAAATCTAAAGGAGTATCATCGCATGAAATTCATTTGTGTCGTGTACTCTAATTAAGAGACATTTTTCTTGTCGAACATATCTATTTGATTAATGTATTTCTTGTCTTTTTTTCCAGCAAACGGGAAACATATAGCACGACATAGCTTTACAAATCTATGTCAATATTTATAAAAAAAAAAAACACTTACCGTATCATGTTTATAGAGATTTTTCTTTTTTCGTCCAAAACCACAGCATCGCCATTTTCGACGATTTAGCATAAAATGTCTAGCTGGCGAACCTAATCGCCCTATACCAGTAGACGTATGACCGCCAGGAACAATACTCGTACCCCCACTACTCATTAATGCATCGGGACCCATTTCAACGAATTCACGATCCTAGAAAACACAATTGATTTACTTAATTAGAAATAAATTAGATGTTCTTCATACAGTTGTTAATTCTAAACAACGAAGTAAATGATGATGTTGAAGTTCAAATGGATTAACAAGATTTTTATCAACAGGAGAATTTGGATCATCACGGTATTGTTCATGACGTCGTTTAGCTGCTATGAATGCATTACTTGTCGCATTGCGTGCCAGACGTATACGTGATAGACGTGCTTTTCGTTGAGCTTTCATTTTATCTGCTCTTTGACTTTGATGATAGATACGACTAAAATTTGATACAATAACAGGTACAGGAAGAGCAATAACAAGTACGCCACTTAAACTGCATACACCGCCAACAATTTTACCAGCCCTAGAAATATAAATAATTATTTTGTTTATTTACTTTAATCATTTCTTTACTTACCAAGTTTTCGGTACAATGTCACCATATCTAAACAGACAGAAATAAGATTTGTCAAATATATGAATATGTGTGAGAGACAGAATGAGAGAGGGAGAGAGAGAAAATATTCTCAATCAATCAACTTTAGAGTTATTACGAAGAGAAATAATTTATTGTTTGTTTACCAAACGTATTTTCCTATTATTTCAGTATATTAACACATAGTCTTTGCCATTTCTCTAACTGAGAATATAATTATGTCAAATATAAACAGATATGACAATCGGTCTTTTCAACCTTGAGATGAAGTTATAGACATTTACATAATATTGACGCTTACGTCATGTAAAATCAAGTATCATAATAAATTGTATCTTTAACACGCTTAATTGTTAATATAGAGATAATTCTTCTTGTAATTAGCGTGTTCGAAGCATAATAAAGTCAACAACAATAATAGCATACATTAAATTAATGAGTTCACACATATTCTTACTCGAAGGCATTGATACGATCAATTTTATTCAACAAATTCTTGCCTTTCATGATAGCATAGTAGAGATCATATCTCGGTCTTTTCTTTTTGTTGTTGACTACTTAATCCAATAAACTATGAATTATGATCGACTAAGCTGAATCGATTTTCATACGCGCATATACAGAAGAAGCAAAAAAGAAAATAAAGTAGTTCGTTAGAATATTTTCGAAATATTTTCCCTTCGTTTGTTTCCTATTGTGGATATGAATTACTGACGTAGAAATACACCTTATGGGAATTTCTACATAATCAAGTTATATATTGACTTTGAGCAAGTTATGTATCGTTAATCATTATTTACATAGTTTTCTGTTTATTTACTACTACGAACAAAAGAGATAATGTTTAAATGACTAAAACTATTGTTTAATTGAAAATATTATTGTTAATTAAAATCTAAATAAAAAGCAACTTTTCAATTCTCAACGGAGTATGCGTGTGTGTGTGTGTGTGTGTGTGTGTTGCAACATGAAATAAATCAATATCTTTTATCCTAAGCACGACCTTCGAAAATTCTATAACTAATCGAAAACTATATATTTTTATATAGACAAAGCGGGGGAGAATATTACTATTTTTTACTTTTTCAATAAGGTCAACATCTCCAGGATACTTATTAACTATTCGTTTAGTTATTTTTACATTCACAATGTCTTACCCAAGTGTTGTCATTGTAACAATAGTATACCAAAATGCTGCTGGTATAGATGTAAATTTAGTGTGAACAACACTTTTCTCTGCATAATACATAACAGTAGCGAATATAATAATTGCCATTGTTAATGAAAATAATAGAAAACCAAGTTCACTAGCACAACTTTTTAATGTATAACCTAATACTCGTAAGCCTTGACTATGGCGAGAAAATTTAAATATACGAAAAACACGAAAAACACGTAGAGTAACAAATGCTCCACTGACTTCACCCTTTTGATGCATAAATAATCCAATATAATATGGCATTATAGCAACAACATCAATAACAGACTAGAAAAAAAAAAGAAAACAAGAAATGATAATAATAAAAACAATAGTGTACACTTTTTTCTTCTTACCATAACAGATCGAATAAATTTCAATCGATCGGGTGCAGCATAAAGACGAAGAAAATATTCAACAGTAAATATCATAACACAAGCTGTATCAAGACAAAAAAATTGACGAGAAAAACGTTCACCGCATGTTCTCGAATACCCAGTGTCAGGATCAGTTCCACACGATACTGTATCCAAAACATTAGCACAAACACTAACAGCAATAAAAAATCCGGTAACATAGTAAAATACAGATGCCATGGTTGATACTTGAGGATTTTCAAATGCACGCCACATTGTTTCACGTACGGATTGAGGTTTGGGTTGGGCTTTATCATCATCTTCGTGAAGACGATCATCAATGAGTCTTTCATTATTTTCACGTTTACGATCTCGATAATCTTCATAGCAACAATCGCCAATTATATCGGGTAGTATACCAAAAAACGCTAGTTCTTCATCATATGCAGCAATACATTCATGTTTTGGATAATGCAATTTACCAGTGCGATAAAAATTTAATATTATACGGAATACATCAGGATCACGATCGAAAAAATATTCACGCGTATCTTCATCGTAGAAGAATTCTTTTTCATTTGAACCCAATAATGAATCAGGATATTTTTCTAATGTTGAACGCCAACATTCAAATCGACGACCACTAACATTAATAATAATTTTTTCATCGCAACGACGGTCACCACCAGTCGATGATGATGTACCATCTGTTGGAATGCGAAATGGTGGCGGTGGCAAAGGATGTTTAGCTAATGGGACCCAACCAATAGCTGCTGCTCGAGCAAATGGAAGCCATGCCGCTACACTAGCCATGTTATGTCTATCGTTATGTTACCTGTAAAAAATAGAATAACAAAAAACAAAACAAAAATTGTCTATAGTATTTTTTTGTGTTTTCGAATGTTATGTCTATGCTAATGATCTAATAATAGGCCAAATGATACTATCCAAACTTCATCAAACTATAGAGAAAATGAATTACATCTTAGTTAAAATTAACTTGATTAGACAATGTATCGAATGCTTTTAGACTAATGCAGATTGGTATAAATCGTGTACATATGTAATAAGATCTAATTTTTACTGTTTACATTAAACATATGTTCATCATTGATGTGTGTTGTGTTTTTTCGTCATCTTATTTTCCCATCTGAGTCTTTTCTTTTCCTTTCTTTTCTTCTGATTAGAGATATGTCTTTTCTTTTCTATTTCGATGTCCGTTAATTTTATATCAAGACTAACATTAATTATATAGAAATTAATGACAAAAAAAAACGATCAAAAATAATCATAACAATAATGTTAATTGCTAATTTATAATACAAACCTACTGTGCGACTATTTGCACCTCTCTACTTGATTCGTAACAATGAATAGCGTCTTGCTGATGTTATTCGATTGTTATTACAAAACATTAAATTTCATAGAAGGACAGATGTTCGTCGTCTATCAGCATAATACAAATATATATATGTATATATATATATATATATCTTAAAAAAAAATAAATAAAAAATAGAATAATCGATACAAAAGAAAAACGGTGTATATTTATGTATATACACGTTCGTATTTGTATCGTGCGAATCCGATGGTAAGAGACGGACAATAGAACAAGAAAGAAAAAGCCAACATGAAGGAGAAGCAAAACACGAAGAATGGAACGACGAGGAATTCTACTACCGCTCTGGTGAGTGTCAATTCGCAGAAACATTACGGCTGCCAGGAACAACACAAAGAAGAAAACGAGGACGATGCGAGATATAGAACGCTGAGAAGAAGAACTGACGCGAGAGAGAGAGAGGGAGAGAGGAAAGAACTCGTTGTGGATAGAAGAAAAGCGGCAAGATATCTCAATCAATGCTGCGCGCGTGTGTGTGTATATAGGCCGTGGATCGAGCGAACGCTATGAAGGAGAACTAGAGAGACCTTTATGTGTGTATGTGTGTTCCATTATGATTATTTTCCGGTAGCCTCATTTTTTCTGCTGTTACTACTACTGCTAGAATTGTCGTCATCTCGTCAAGCACGACAACCTTCAAGCCACATGTGCTTTCTCTCTTTCTCGTCCTCGAATGCTCAACCAGAATAAAAAAAGCCGAGCGAACTGATTTTTTCTTGTTCTGTTTCTTATTTTTCTCTCTATATTCACTCTCATTTGGTGTTCCTTTCTCTTTCTCTTGCCTACATTCATCATGTGCTCGAATCGATTGGTAACATTGTCTTTTGGAATTTGAGAATAATTTTGATTATTGAACGGACATCGTGACATCAACTAAAGAGAAAAAATATATATATGTGTCACAGCTCGTGTATAACAGATATATAAAAGCTAACGTTCGACGGAATAAGACAGAAAAAGAAAAACGAGGTCGATGAATGAAAACATCGATTTATTGTATTGGCAATAGAAAAATGATAGAAACAGAAGTTTCACCATCTGTTCGATATAGAAGATACTTGAATCTTTTTCTTTTGCTGTTACTTCTTTTGCTTTATTTTCGTCAACATAACGAAACGACACTACTAGTCTCTTAAAGACCATTATTGCAAGATGATAGACAGGATAGTATCTTAACACGTAGCGACTAGTTTAGTTGTCTAATTATGTGACGAAAGTATTTTAGCGAGCTAAACTGCTGACACTCTTGAAAAGAACTACTGACAGAAATGATAACAACAATAACAAACAGTGTGCCATCTGAGAAGCACCACTACCATCACCACAACAACAACAACATCCTCACTACTACTACTACTACTACTACTTTAGCTAACTGTTAGACGATCGAGCCTATACCACTGCTTGGATATTATTATATGTTTTTCCAGAATTGCTCGACTCGTGTATTTTCTGTTTTGCTTTCATGCCACTCTAGATCACTGAATGGATGAATGGCAGTGTGCATGCGCATATATATTTATTTGTGTATGCGTATATAATATTCTATGTTTTATCGAGGTTCGCTCTGCCCTTGGTGCTACGATTCTAACTATCTTCTGCTCTCGTCATGTTCTCACAAAACGATTTATCAATCAATTAACCATAATCACGCTATGCAACCTACATTATTTTCAACATTTTATTTGTTCATTATACACTTATTATTCGAACTAATCGTATAAGTACTCACGCACATAATAAGACATACACCGGGAGTTTGAGTCAACAGAAGAAGAAGAAGAAGAAGAAGAAGAAAAAAGAACAAGCGGAACCAAAATGAACAGTCAATTATTCGATAAATCACTGTGTTCTTTTTTTTTCTTGTTGACTGATTGTTATTTATCGACGTCAGCAAAACAGGATAAGAATTAAAAAACGGTCACAAGTGGCAAACTCTACTTATAAATCCATAGAGAATTTATGTTTCCAGTTTATATTTTCTATTTGTGGAAGGCCAACAACATTGGCATAGTATCATCATCAGTCGGTCACATGCCTATCATCATTAATAATGAAAGCTGAAAGTTAATCTCTCGACATGCTACCTATCGTGATACAGCTGTTTAATGCGTCAGTTACAATTCGAATGCTAAATAAATTAGTTTAGTTCAAAATTGACAAGTAACTATTTATCAAAAAAAAAGAACGCGAACAGAAAACCCTATGCTTTGAGCAAAAATAAAGGACTTGCTTGACCTTTTTTCTTCTCGTTTTCTCTTGTCTTTAACAACATATGCCTGCTTACGTCAACACCGCTTCTCTTTCGGTGCTCGTTTTCTTGTTCGCGTTTTTCTTTTCCATATTATACTATTGTGAATTATTTGAGATATTAATAGTCAGTTGAGTAACATAAGAAAACGAAGGGGAGAAGGAGGAGAAGGAGAAGCGAGCAACGGATGGATATGAAACGAGCCGAGTCGATCCGATCCGATCCGATCCGAATTGTGCTCAATTCAATGAGAAAGGATTAGACGAAGCGTAGTTGATATGAATGAGACGCCAATATTATAATGATTAGAATACGCACTCGAACAAGCGCAACAATACAAATCAAGTTGAGAATCCGAACGAAAGAAGAATCATATACGCTCAAAATGATAATTAAATCAAGGCTAGTAGTTGTACGACATCTATGTTTTTATACAATGAAATTGTTGTCTATTGGAATAAAGCTAAAGAATATAATGGCATTGTCGCTAACAGCAATGTTGTTCAATACGTTAACACTAGCGACATAGTTAACAATGATGATTTATTTGTGTTTTTTGTTCAATTCTTATTCCTTTTTTTTTGTTCAATTGAACATTCGTATCTGTTAAATATAAAATCAAATGTCACAAAACTCAGGACCATTTCTTGTTTCCTCTCATGGTCATCCAGGCTTTAATCCTCGACCACCACCACCACCGCCGCCACCACAGCCACCCTCATCATCGGGACCATCAAAACGAATAAGTAATGGTCTTATGACTGGTTCTAGTCCAGGGAACCCATCGATGGGTCCAAATATGGGTCTTACATCATCACCATCACCTATGCGATCAGCTGGTTCAATGGGTCCAATGAAGCCTGGTAGTATGGGCATGAGCCCGATGGATAAATCAAATTCAATGTCTTATTCAAATCGTTATAGTCGTAAACCTTGGCCTATGTCACGTAGTATTCATGGTAATAATCCTTTTTCTTTTGTTTTTGAACGAAAAATCTTCACAAATTATTCTTTGAATTTTAAGACAAAAATATTCGTGGTCATGATGATCATGAAGCACCATATCTTCGTCCAAACATTCCGGGTCACCCTGGTCCTATGGAAAATATGAATAATTCATCATTTACCATCGAACCATCAACAGACGATGACGAATCTGATGATATCTATTTTTCATCGCGTCATATAGCTGCTGCACGTTTTCAACGTAATCAACGTTTATTATGTGAAATATTCAATGAAGTATGCATACCTGATTTACGATCGAATGTCAATGTTGATCGTATATTAACACTACGTCGGCAAGTTGATGCGCTTAAAACACATCGTGAAACATTTGAAAAAGATTTAAATGAATTAGAAGACAAACATACAGAGAAAAAACGTAAATTCTTAGATGCGAATGAAAAATTTCATAATGAATATGTTGACGCTTCAACAAATAATTTAAGTCGAGAAAAAATTAATGAAATCCTACAAAAATATGAAGCAATGGAGAAATTACAAAAAGAAAAACAATTACTTCTTCAACAACAACAGCAACAACAATTAGCTGCTGCTCCACCACCGCCTTCATCGCAAACATCAACAACTATGGTACCACCACCGATTGTTGCTCCACCAATGAAAGTTGAATTAACATCTACTGTTGAAGTATCACAACAACAAATCGTACCACCACCACCACCTGTACCAACTGCAATATCAGCTTCACATCCACCTGTACCTCCAGTTCAAATACCATCTCAACCTGTATCGGTTCAATTACCACCAGTACAATCTGTGCAACCAACTCAAATACCACCACAACCTGTACCAATTCAAATGCCGTCACAACCTGTACCATCAACTCAAATACCACCTCAGCCTGCACCATCAGCTCAAATACCGCCTCAACCTATACCAATTCAAATGCAAACACAATCTGTACCAATTCAAATGCAACATCAGCCAGTACTAACTCCAATACCTCCTATACCATCAGCACAACATATACCAACACAACCTGTACAATCACCAATGGTACCACCTCAATCTGCACAATCTCATCTACCACCAGGAGCTGCCATGCAACAATTACCACCACCTCAACAAGTTCCACCTCCTCAACAGCAGCAACAACAGCCGTCACCTCATCAAGGTTATCCAATGATGCATCAAAGTGGTGGTTATCCTCAAGCACCTGCCTATGGTCATCCTCAACAATATCGACCACCATTGAATCAACGTCCATCTCAATATCCACCGAATGTTCAATGGCAGCAGCAACAACAGCCACCACCACCACCTCAGCAGCAACAGCAGCAGCAACAACAACAACAGTGGCAACCTAATGCATATGGTAAGAATTTCACTTTTGTTACGAATCAATTTTACAAAGTTAGGAAACATTTTCGCTTTCATTTCTAGATCCTCGATATTACAATCCATATCCTCCTAATGTTCAATGGCAACAGCAGCAGCAACAACAATGGCCACCAAATCAACCTCCACCTCAACAACAAATGGGTATGGTTCCACCTCAACAACAACAAATGGGCATGGTTCCTCAACAACAAGGACCACCACCACAAATGCGTCCCCCTCCTCAACAACAGCAGGGGCCACCACCGCAAATGTATGTCAATGGTGGTAATTATGGTTATGGTGGTGGTCCTGTTGGTTGGAATGGTGGTCCACCACCTCCTCAGCATCCATCACAACAGTATGGTTATCCACAAAATCCATCATATGATCCATCGGGTGTTCAAGGTCCTCCTCCTCCTCAACAACAACAACAACAATATTATCCACCACCACAAGGTTATGATTATGGCCCACCACCTCAACAACAAGGACCACCTCCTCCTCAACAGCAGCAACCTCCACAAATGAACTAGGAATTCTTCGGAAAAACAAAATTCTGTCATTTTTTGTTACATAGAAAGTTTTTGTTTCTCTTTATCTGTACAAATAATATTCGTCTGTATATCTTCTAAAGAAAAAAAAATTCATTCGTCATGTTCTAGATTTATTGTTATTGTTGTAGTTTTTTTGTGTAAAAATACACTAATGGCATCGATTCGACCATGTCTAGCTCTAGTATCAAAAACAACCGGTCGTCGACAATTTAGTTTAAGTCAACGTATGCGTTTAAAAGATAATTGGGATCAAGAATGCTTACCTGGTGCTAATGTGCCATTTAGTAGTAAGAATTTTGTCATTGAATAAACACGACCATAACTCGAAATAAAATAAAAATCGTTTTTTTCTTTTTTACTATTATTATTCTAGTACAAAGCAAATGGGGTTTAGCTACAACATTAGTTGTTTATGTAGCATCAGCTGTTGCAGTTCCATTCTTGGCCATGCGTTGGCAACTACTTAAAAAACGTGCTGGCTAAATGATGTTTCAAATTGTCGAAGACCTTCATATCAATGAAAAGTTGTCAAACATTTTTTTCTTCATACTTATAAAAAGTGATATTTTTGTTCAAGTTCTTTGATAGAAATAAACGTTCGTTGTCCCCATAGATAATAACGAATGTATTTATCTATAATAGAAAGGAGCTTACAAAAGAAAATGAATTATTAATAGAAAAACGTTTAACAATAAGAAGAATTCAAATTGATCTATATAGCAGAAAAAATTTCCCATGGGATTTTCTTAAATATTTTCACTTGAAGAAAGCGTTGTATTATTCGTATCTTTTATCAACAATAAGAAAAGTACGTAAAGATTAATTTAGCGATTTTTGATCAAATTTCCTACTAATCAAATTCTATTATTAATTCATAAGAAAATTTTCTCATTGTAATAATTTCTCACATTCTATTGTATGTTATCGTTGACAGCTTTCTTTCTCTTAACAATTAACTTTCTCCTATGAATAGAAGTTATGTTTTTTTTTTTGCAAAAACTAATCTACTACAATCGTCATGTAATATTTAGTTTAGGATATGAATTACAACAGATGTTTACTAAAGATAAATATTTATGTATAACTTCAAACACTCTCTAGCAAAATACATTGATTTCTTTATCTATAATGAATCAATATAGAAGTTTGTCAGCACAAAACAATGATTGTATAATCATATACGAAAAAAGAGAAAGTCTATTCTCATGGTCAATTTCTCTTCACCAATATGGATCAATGAATAATGCGTTGCGAAAAAAGAAATCTTCAAGTTCAAAAAGTCAATCTAGTTCTTCACTTGCATTGTACAATTTTCATATAACAATATCGATCATGTATAAACGTCTTGAAGAAATCAATGCATATATGATTGTGCATGTTCAAGCATATTCCTATTGACCCTCAATTACTCTTATACGATGTTTACTTTGAGCACTGAAATGTCCTTGTGAACAGCCAAAGAAAACGAGAGCCAGGGACAAACGAAAAAGAGAAGAACTTTTTTCTTCTTCTACTGACAACTATGAGCAGATACAGGAACAACAAAAAAAAAGGTGACGAGAGAAAGAAAAAATGTACAAACAGTTTTTGCATAATCGCTTTGATATATACGATTTGAGACGCGTGTATCTTCAATTTCATCATACATACATATATATATATATAACAGAAAATGCATTCGTTCTTCTTTTGTATCCTCGTTGATAAATAAAATGGCCTTGACGAAACGGACACGTTTTATACTTGTACAAAGTACAAGTAATGCGAATGTAACTGATGATAATATGGAACCATATCATGTCAGTATATTTCGTCGTGCAGCATCAATGCCACCATTACCCAAGTTAACATCGTCAAAGAGAATACAATCTCATGAACGCGAACAACAACAATCTACTGCAATTTCAAAACATCAACGACGTGAAAAAAAAGATGAAACAGTAACAAATAAATTTTATAAACTAAATATTCACACAATGAAAAAGAAATCCGCACGAATCAGTATGCGTTTATCGAGCGCATTCGGTTTATCAGCACATACAATTGATGAACAATTTAATTTTCATGAACAACGTTTTCGGAATATTGAAAAATTTTCAAAATTATTTCTTCGAAACACTTACACATGTATTGAAGCACTTAGGGTAAACTTCATTCAATAACAAATTGAAATTGAACAGTTCAAGATAATAAAATAGACTCGTCGTAAACAGTATGGAGTATTGTCATTTCGTTCAATCTACTTGAGAGTACTTGAAGAGAGTAGTAGAGAAGTTTTATTGAGCCAACCGTAGCGACGACTTCAACATTCAGAAAGTTCTCAGGGGAAAAATTCAACTATTTGACCATGTCTATGAGTTGAAGTGAGAATCTGTTTTTTTTTCGAACTCAAGGTTACGAGTGAAAGTGGTAGAGCCTTGCGGGGTTAAACGTTTTTGACTTCGTCAGGGCTTGCGACAAATGTGTAATAGATGCGCTGAGTTCTCACGTCACCACATAATGAATACAGCCTTGGCTCTCAGATATATGTGTTTGCTATTCTTCATAACGATCTATTTACTAATTGATTTATTTCATAACTCATGAAAAGATAATCAAGTTCTTCTAGGAAAGTTTAATAACTCAAGTTGATATTGCTGAAGATTTCGAAGAATTACTAATGGATAAAGTGCCTGATTTACCTCAGCAGTTTCTTCGATCGAAACGTCTATTACTTGAAAATTCTTTTACAGACTTTGTAAGTATGTTTTTCCTTCAATATAATTTATTTGCTTTTTTCGTTCGTAATAATTATTTACATTATAAACAGTGCAATCATATTGAATTATATGTTATTCAATCAATCAATAGTTTAACAAAATTATTTATCAAACCAACAAATCTTATCTCTAAAAGACATAAAAAATTATTGGATTACGATAGCGCTCAATCAGCTTATGAAAAAGTTAAAGATCAACAATTAAGACAAGTAAATACACATAAAGAATTAGTATTTTCTCCCTCTCTGGCTCTTTCTACTTTATTGAAAACTAAAAAACGAATTCTAGGTCAGACACGCACTCGATTCTTCGAAACAATCATATGAAATATTAAATAATCGATTAATAGAAGAACTGCCAGTTTTATACGAGTATAGCTGTCAAATATTATCAATATGCCTAAAAGAATATATTCGAGCATATTTATGTTTAATGCAACAGATGCGAATAAATACTCAAAGTATACTTAACCAGGTTTGAATAGATAAATAGCTTTGAAGTTTTATGAGACAGTTGTCGAAATCAATAGGTACTCTTATCTGGTAACGTTCAACAATTAAATTGGCAAGAAATTCTTGAACGATTTAACGAAAAGAATAATACAACTTCGGAAGAATTATTTCAATTAACGATAACAGCAAAGAACTTTTCTGAAAGAATAAAAAATCTATCCAAAACACAATTAACTTCAATTAAAAATAATTTTTATAATTATGATAAAGTTCGTTAAGTTTTTTCTTTTAGCTTTCATCGTTTGTTATTTTCTTTGTAATTATCATGTTTATCAATAGGATACATATTTACAAACAGATGAAGTTCGAAATCTATTGAAACATAACTTTCCCGAACAAAATTTATTTATCGTTATTCAAAATTATACGGGTAGTTCGTCAATCAACCAATCGATAAAGTCAAGAGAAAAAATAATTGTTCGAAATGTAAGTCAAGTATATACTGATAGTGAAAGAACTAATGTGAGCGTAAGACAGTAGAGCATTAAAATGTTAGAGTGACTAACTGCACATGTCGCATTAGCACAATAGAGTAGCGGCTGTTACCCGGTCTGTAAACAGTACCGATCTTAACTTTGAAGTTTTTTTTACCGGGTAAGAACCAAAAATATTCACATAGATGTAATACATTAATAACCAAAAGTCTTTTCTTATGATTAATCAATGAAGAAGAAACATTTAGATAAATTAGAAATAATGTTTCCATAATAATAATTTTGCTTTTCTAGTATTTCTTATCGTTTCAACGAAGAAAAATTTCACCATAAACTAACTTTAAGCGAGACATGCTGATTAAATTACACCCGCTTTTCATTGGATCAACCAAATTTTATACGAAAATGAAATCAATACTATTAGATGATGTTGCTTATTTTACTCAACCTTTATATTTGCATTAAATTCTATAAATGAACTTTACAGCTTTATTACGTAACTCTTGTTTAAATGATTTTCTTTTCTTGCGTAGGGCGATATTGTTGTCGTTATTAGCCAACATGAAAGGAATCCTACTAATTCCAACTGGCTTGTTGATAATGGAAGTATGAATTAAACAAAAAAGTATTCTATTGAAAATAAAATAATTCCTATTTCGTTTAGTGACCAGAGGTTATCTACCTCATTCAATTCTTCTCCCTCTATCATCGAATAATCATTCAGATGTTGCTTCTTCTACGCTGCCAACACCGATTACTCGTGATTTACCAGTTTATTCACAAGTGCCACAGTCCATATCGCGTGTAAATTCACGATTAAGTTATCATAAAATTCCCAATACTCTAACACGAGCTAATACAGCACCTGATTTATGCTTAATTAATTCTTCTCATGATTTTCGAGTAGAAAATGAACGAATTTATGTCAATCAACAGATTTGTCAACCATTAAAAGATGAAGTCGATGAACCACATCAATATGCTTCGATCGATTTCGATGAATCATCTACTCCCGTTTCAAATGAAGAAGAACGAGTATAAATTAACAAATATATATATATATATATATATTCTCTCGAAAACGTTTTTTTTTCATTTATTTAGATCTACACTGCCCTATACGATTTTGATAGTACAATTGATTGTGTTCTTTCTCTGCGTGTTGGTGAGCAATTAAAAATTTTAAAATGTTCCGATGACGATAAAAATGAAGAATGGTGGTATGTCGAAAAGCTCAATGATTCAAAACAACGAGGCTATGTGCCGGCAAATTATATTCAATCTGTTGAACAAATTTAATTAATGAAAATCGATGTGTGTACTTTAAATGATTCAGTGATTATTTACTTTTTCTTCTTCAATGTAATTTAATAGATGAACGATTGAGAATCGAACAGTACGAACAAATTGTTTGATTATGATTGACCGAGAGAATGCTAGAATTTTCATATCGAATCGGACAGTATTGTGCATGTGAGTCACAACAAAATACCCACTAGATATTCGTTTTAACCATCCGGCTCCTAATCAAAAGCTCCGGAAGCCTTTAGGACATAAAATTTATTCATACTATTTGCTTTAATGTTAACATTAAAATTGATAACCGTCGGCCATCGACGTCTAAAATAAAAGTGAACATTTTTGTAGAGAAAACAAGAATTAATTGTTTGTACTGCTCAGACGTGTACGATTCTTCATGGTTCATCTGTTATTTTGTTGTTGTAGAAACTGTTTTGCCTTTTTTTTAATATTTATTTTTGTTTCAAATAAATACTGACTTTAACAATTTCAATATTGAAGAAGTTCATTCATTCAGATAGTTAATATTGAAATCATGTCGTTTTGACTTGTAGACGTAAATATCCATAATTGAATAAATTAATCGGCTCTCACTGATTTTCAATCAGTAATCCAATTCTACGGAGTAGACATGTCCTCTTTTTTTATTTATCAAGTAGCATAAATATTGCGCAGTACTCATCATGTTTAGTTGATAGTCGCGCATACTTGATGCTAAGTGCATAACTGTCGTACAGCAATATTGACAAAACGAAAAAAAGAAAAAAGATTAAAAGTTCTATTAGTATTTCATTTTACCTAAAATACAATCGGAACGATTAGATCGAAGACGATTAAGAAAATCAACTACTGTTTCTTTTACATATACAAATATTATTTTAACGTGTCCTTCAGGTTTCACTTAGTTTTCTTTTGTTTGAGGATTTTGTGATATTTAGATAAGAGAATAATTTTTATTCAAGGCGAAAAAAAGAAAGATAAAAAAAAAACAGATTTTACACTCGAAAATGACGGCAAAATATGGGTTTTATTATAAAGAAGGTCACGACGATTCATTGTTTATGGATCAAACATCGGTTAAACTAATTATTGAACGTTTATCTTCACCGCCGACACCCTTCGTGCTCTATAGTCTCAATCAATTTCGTCAGAATATTGATAAGTATCAAAATGAACTTCATAAACTTGCACCAATTCGTGGTCGTTTATCATATTCCATGAAAGCTAACTATAATCCTCATCTATTACCAATTTTAAAGTCTGCAAAAGCCATGTTGACAACAGTCAGCGGTGGTGAAATGCAATTAGCATTATCAGCTGGTTTCGAAGTAAGTCTAAAACCATAAATCAACTTTTATTTATTTTTTCCGTGATTTAATTCATTGATTAGCCATCATCGATTATCTATAATGGTAATGGAAAAACCGATGAGAGTATTCAAATGGCAGTTGACTCCGGTGTTCTATTGAATGTCGATAGTTTATTTGATCTCGAAGTCATTCTTCACTATGCACGGCAATTAAATAAAATAGCAAATGTACTTATAAGAGTGAATCCAAATCTTAGCGATTCAAATGTTCATGCGTACAATGTAACAGCGTCTAAAACAAGTAAATTTGGTACGAATATTGATGAATTAGAACCGATTTATAAATTAATTGAGCAAAACGATGACAAATGGATACGCTTATTTGGTTTTCATTGTCATTTAGGTTCGACAATATCGAATACGCAAATAATTAGTGAATGCGTTAAAAAGCTAATTGAATTATTCGACACAAAGCGTTTTCCTCATCTTCGCATACTTAATATAGGCGGCGGATTAAATATTGATTATAAACGTTATGCTAAACGTACAAAAAACGACGATGAAGAACACATCACAATTCCAGCTATAGGCGATTATATACAATCAATCAAAGACTCGATAGAATCATTTCCGCGTTCTATTGAATTAGTTGTTGAACCTGGACGAAGTTTAATTGCAAATTCATGCGTACTGATAACTCGTGTACTTGGACAAAAACAAACAGGCTCAATACGACAACTGATTGTTGATTCATCGATGACGGAATGTATTCGTCCAGCTCTTTATCAAGCATATCATCATATTGATACAGTTAATTCTTTATCTACAGAAGAACGTATACCATTCGATATAGTTGGGCCTGTTTGTGAAAGTGGAGATTTCCTTGGTAAGCAACGCTGCTTACCCAAGACATTGAAACGTGGAGATTTTTTGGCTGTTTTCGATGTTGGTGCTTATTGTTCAAGTATGAGCTCAAATTACAATATGAGACCGCGACCAGCTGAATACGCCTTAGATGAACACGAGCAAATTCAAGTATTAAAAAAACGCGAAACAAATGAAGATCTTTTACGGACATATTGAGTTACATCGAGTTCTTGTCTGATCTATTTTGATGAAAAGAATAAAAGATAGTTTGATGATGGATAAATCTGATGACAATTGGCAATTGTCTTGATATGCAAAAAGAAACAAGATAAGATTGATTTTAATAGATATAGAGTTAATTTGGACATACGATGACAGGGTCGACTTTATGTAGCTTTTCTTATTCAATGATATTGATAAGATGACATTTCAATTATTCATTTTTTTTCTGATTTTTTGTATTCCTTCTCATTGTTCTCACCTTACAACCTTAAAGAATAAAAAAGCAAATGAAACGATTTTCTTTTGTACATTGAGTAAATTGCAACATCTCAGATTATAAATGAGAGAAGACTATAGTCGTTATTTTCACGTTCAGACAACAACAGACTCGCATATGCTTATTGTTCGATTTGAACTTTTATGTCAATTGTAGAACAAAAGAAAAAGAATTGTACAATAGAGTTCACCATTATTATCATCGTCATCATCATCATCATGCGGTCAACTCCCCCTTGTCGCACACAATAGTTGACCATCAACTGTGCGTCTACTCTGCATATATAATTTATTTTTTTCTTTCTGCCTGTCTGCGCAACAAACTCTACTCTGTTCTGTCCTATATTACAGAACTAGTTCTACTTACATATATACATATATATGCATATCTATTTACTCCTCCTTGTTGATGATTTCAAAGCAAAGAAGTACAATGCGAGAAAATAAGACTTAGCAAAAGAGAAAAGAAACATTGATAATACAATATCAACATGCATATGTTTTGCATTATTTAGAATAGACATTGGCGTGGATCTGTAAAATAATGAATCTCTCAAATTTATATTTCTTATTCTGCTCCATTATTATTAATACCTGTTATGCTGGTCCTCTTGAGGATCTATCGTCTATGCCCGATTTAACTTTAGTAAGTTATAATCCTGTTGTCGTATTTTTTTTTTTTTTTTATAAAAATATTTCTATTCAAACACAAAAACTACAATTTAGTTCTATCAACAATTAATTCGTCAACCAGATTTACAAGCACTTCTACAAGATGCGTATCAATCTCAGCAGCCAGGTAGTGTTGGAGAGTATACTATATTCGCTCCAAATAATGATGCTATGGCGCGTATTAATCGAAGAAACGAAAATCCAACTGTACTATGGAAATATCACATTGTACCGGGTCGTTATGATGATCAAACAATATTTAGTATGGCCGAAGAAAAATTTAATCAAGCTAATCCAAGGCAAATGGGCACTGTTCGTCCACAAAATAATCTGCCTACGATGTCATTACCATTTCAAGTATGAAGATAAGTCAATTTATCAAATCGAAATTTTAATTTTTAGGTATTTTATGGTATTGGTTTTTACGGTGGAACAGGTCCATATATAAATGTAAGCTATGATAACACTGGTTACAACACAGGCGGAGTACCGTGGTTACCACGGCCAACTCACGCAGCGAAATTTGATAACCTTACTCCACTTAATCCGTATCTTGGTACGAAATTAATTTTAATTCGAAATATGTAAAAACAAAGTTTATTTTTAGTGAATCTGAATAATTATAATCCAAGTCAACCTACACAAAACTATGTTGTTGCTCAAGGTTAGTTTATTTTCGATAGAAATCTTTATTGCTTTTGTATTTTTCAGGCAGTGCATCATCGAGCAATCCAAATCTATTTCCAAAAAATTTAACGAACTATTATGCGAATGTATTTAATCCGAATGTAAATACGCAATTTCTCCAAAATATTAATCCACCACCCAATAATAATAATAATAATAATAATAATCCTAATGTGCCACAACAGCCAGGATTTGGATTACAAGGTGGTTTTGCTGGCATCGGCATACCAGTAAGTGTTTGCGATTCTATTGATGGGCTATAAGACGAATTGCTATGACAAATTAACTACGCTCATTTCACTTGTATTTTACACGACCGTGACTTAAACATGTGTTGTCATCACAAAGCTCTATTTAATATAGCATCGTCAAAAATCATATTTGTTTCCGGCCGTTATAATATTATGAGAAGTTCAGTGTGGCTGCAGCGAATGCGTAAATTTGAGCAAGACTTGTTAACTAAAACATGTGCATAGCCTAATTGAATTAAAAGCTCGAGTATCAAGAAAACTTTTCTTTTAATTCCACACCGGAAAATTGATTTTGCTTGTGAATAACGAATTTCAGAGAGTAGAAGAAAATTTTCTGCAATTTAGCGTCCGACGATTAACAATGCGTTTATATTACAATCACGTTTAATGAGTCGCGGTATTATTAATGTCGTTGATAATATCCTATGGCCACCAGAAAGACGTGATCAAGTACAATATAAAACTGCTTTTGATGCTCTTGAAGATGCTCAGTTTTCGTAAGTTTTTACTTTTCTTAATCGTAAAATATGAAAAATAATCTTCTTTAAAGACGTCTTCGACAACTGGCTCAACGCAGTGAATATTTTCGAGCTGAACTACGTTCAATGAATCATCAAACGTTCTTTTTACCGAATGATCAAGCATTTGCTAGTTTAGGAGCAAATGCAGAATATCTTTTAGAACAGTCTCTTAGGAACAATACAAATGATGTGAATGAAGTAAGAATTTTTATTTTTATTTAACATTGATTAATCGAAAAATTTCTTTTTGATTAGTTTGTTAAATCACATATTATACCAATAGTACTTTATCCAAGTGTAATGGACGCAAGTAAACAATTAAGTACATTAAATCTTGGCAAATGGGTTACATTTCGTAAATTAATACAATCGGATCAATCATTTGAAAGTACTGTTGTTGCTTTTATTCGTTTTGCTTTTGTTATAAAAAGGAATTTTTTAAATTTATCTGTAGTTGATGTTGTTTCCAATCGACAAGTTGCACGTATTTTAATATCGCGTTCAGAAGATATTAAAATCTATGGTAATGGCCTTGTTTATCCGATTCCAATATTTCTAAGTGGTGTCACTCGATCAGCTGCTGATGAACTAGCACGAAGTTACCAGTGAGATAAATTTGAAAGAAAAAAAAGGTTGAAAAATCATCTCGTTCTTTTTATAGGTATTTTATGGCTCTGATTCAACAATCTGGAGATACAGAATTAGTTAATCTATTACAGGGCAATACTGCTGGATTGGGTAATACAGGTCCAACTATATTTAATCCAGACAATACAATCAAAATAACTGTGCTTATACCACAGCGAATAGCCGTGCAGCAATTAGGAAACTCTGAAGAACTTAGTAAAGTTAGTAAATTAAAAGAAATAAAAAATCGATATATAAAATAAAATTCATTTTTATTTATTTAGAACTTACGTCGACATATTTTACGTTTGCCTGTTTATACAGATCAATTGTCGCCTGCATCAAACGCTTTTGTACAAACAGGTCCCATGATGCCACAATTTCAAAGATCATCTTCTAATGCAAATAAAAAACTACCAAGACGGCATCGTCGTCGACGTCGACAAGTCAACATGCCATCGAATATGAACTATCAACAGCAACAAAATGTACCATCTCAACCTCGACCACCTACTCAACAGCAAGCTTTTCCTATGCAACAACAGAACTTGCCTGTTCAACAACAAGCCTTCCCCATGCAACAGCAGCATCGAAATTCACCTAATCAACAACAAAATTTTCCTATGCAACAACAAAATGTACCCTTTCAACAGCAACAAGGTTTGTCTATGCAACAACAGCAACCAAATCCTCCTGTTCAACAGCAACAACAAGCTTTTCTCATGCAACAGCAGCAACCAAATTTACCTGTTGAGCAAAAACCAGTTTTTCCGATGCCACAACAACAACAGCCAAACATACCCATTCAACAACAGCAACATTTCTCTATGCAACAACAACAACAAAATACACTTGTTCGACAACAACAACAACCACAACAAAATACACTTGTTCAACAACAACAGCAGCAGATGTTGCCTTCTCGACAACAAGAGCCAGATCAACAGCAAAAAGTTTTAGGAAAACAGCAGCTTTTACCAATCGATTCACAACAAATGTTACCCAATCAACAGTTTTTTCCAGTCCAAGAACAGCCAATGTTCCCAAATCAGCAACAACCTATGTTGCCAAATCAACAACAGCCTATGTTGCCAAACCAACAACAGCCAATGTTTCCAAATCAGCAACAACCTATGTTGCCAAATCAACAACAGCCAATATTCCCAAATCAGCAACAACCTATGTTGCCAAACCAACAGCAGCCAATGTTCCCAAATCAACAACAGCCGATGTTGCCGAATCCACAACAACCAATGTTCCCAAATCAACAACAGCCTATGTTGCCAAACCAGCAGCAGCCAATGTTCCCAAATCAACAACAACCGATGTTGCCGAATCCACAACAACCAATGCTTCCTAATCAACAATTATTACCATCACTACAAGATCAACTTAATCCTACTCTTAATCCAAGTTATTATCAAATGCCACCAATTATGATGTCAGCTGTATTTCAAGATGGTCAAATGTATCCAACTATGGATCCTCAATTCTTTATTCAAGCACAAGTAGCAACTGGACCAAGTGGAAATGGTATGGAGAAAATAATGATTTTCACACGTCATATATCTAAGAATAGTTGCCGACAGCTTTTTGTCTATTAGATAATCTATGTTTTGACTGTCAGCTAAATTTAGCTCCATACATTTTCTAGAATGCATTGATTGTATAAAAGAGTAAAATTTTCTTAAGAAATCGAAGAAATGATTTTAGAAAGAGTTTAGATTCAAACATAATTAAATCTTTAATATTTATGTAAATGAACATCTTCTCACTAATGAGAGTACCCTCTTAACATGAGAGACTTTTTTCACCAAATAAGGCAAAAAAGAACATTCGAAAATCGTAGACTATATCTATGGTCATATTTTCTAATTTCAATTCAGACATAAATAACGTTCGATTGCTTCATGACTTTGATCAAGGAATTCTATTATATTCTACATTGATTTCTATTATTTTTTTTTTGAAGTTATTAGATTGATCGGTCGACCCGAAAATTCATTACCATTTATAGCTTCAGTTCTAAATAATGAAGCAAATATACCAATTAAAAATGGTGTTATGCATGTTATTCGAGGTCTTCTATCCGGAACGGTTATTCCACTGGATACAATTCTGTCAACAATGCAAGGAGCCAGGTAAGCACGACAGAATTATCATTTTCTTTAAATATATTTTCTGCATTAATTTTTAGTTCGTTCACTCAATTACTTGAACAAACAGGTGTTCTTAATCAATTAAAACAATCAGGACGTCCTTACACTCTATTCATCCCAACGAATGCTGCTCTACAATTTATTGGTGTAACAACAGATATTAACAAAATAAGACAAGTATATTAAAAAAAATGATTTTGTAAATAAAAAAATGATTTCTCGAATATTTAGTTTGTTCTTCGACATGTTTGTGCGGATGTTATTATGGATCCCATGACTAATATATTACGCCGTGCTGGAGGTTATTATAGTCGTGGTCAGGCGCCACGAGCTCAGCCACAACAACAACAAAAACCAGCGCAACGACGAAATCGTCGAAAACGACAAGATTGGGCTGATGCATGGAGAAATGGAAGCATGACGGTCGGTGGACAACCTGTGAAAGCACCTGATCTTGGTGCAGCCTACTTTGAACCACAAGAACAAGTCTATGGTGGATATCCAGCTGCTCCGTCACCGTACGGTTTTTATAATCAACTATATAATCCAGCATATGTTATGGGTGGTTATGCTAATCCAAATTCTCAATATTATCCATATAGTAATGGAAGTTCTGGAAGTAGTGAGGGCTTTAATTATCAAAATTCGGGTGTACTTGCATCGGTTCCGATGTCTGATGCTAATTGGAATCAAACGTTTGGTGCGTTTTACAATCCACAATTAAACGTTGTACCAATGACAGGCAGTGGTGGCGATCCAAGTTACTACACGGGCACAGGTGGATTTTATAGTGGTTCGACTTATGCTACTGGACCACAATCATGTATGGCTATGACAGGCGAACGTATTACAGTTCAACCATTAGCTGGTGCTCAAACAGGAGGTATGCATGCTATGTATTGTCGAAAATAAATTGATATGACGTATAAATTTTCAATAGGAAAGAGTCCCGTAAATAAAATGGGTTTGTTCATCACTCATGATGATTATTTCATATGCTTTATTCTATGCACTTTAGAAACAAAAATGATATCATTTGAAAGAGATATCGATTTTTAAAATTAGATTTTTCATTTGGGAAACATATGAGTTATTTCGTGACATAAGGATTTACGAGAAAGCACTTACAAGTGTCAAATAGCTTTCGGAGCGAGTCTATTTCGATTGAACGCTTCGAAAATATCGAAGAACTAAAAATTAAATTTTTCACTAAATCCAAAACTAATTTCCTATGAATCTATTTTTAGGCATCAATGAAGCTGTAGATTATCAAAGTAAGTCATTTGAATCTTAATCTATTACAAAAAGCACACTTTCTTTCTCTAGATTTTATGGTGACATGTTGCGGTGATCAATCTGTCAATGCCATTGTTCAATCATTCAATGTATATCCTCCAAGTTTTGCTGTTTATATAATTGGTCGATCGTTATTATCCTATGGTCAAACGATCAACACAATGTTTAGTCATACAACAACTATATTTCCCTGTCAATTGTTTGTATTCGCTCTACTTACTTTATTAATATTCATGAAATATGTTTAACCCTTCGTGTGCCGTGTTCCAATGTACAGAAATTCCTCTCGTTTGTTTTTCAAATAAAATACATTTTTATTATTAAAGTCAACAAAAGAAAAAAAAAGTAATAATAACAACTACATACAAAAAAAAAGACTTTGCATTAATTAACAATAAGCGAAGCTATAGAAAGATTTGAATTACTTGTATATGAGTAAGAAAGTGTGGAAAGATCGCGCCTATCCGTAAATGGACAGTCTTGTATATATAAATCATCGCGTTTCGAAGTGCTCTTCATAAACAATTTATTTTCATTACAATTAATTAACATACAATAGAATGCCGATGCCAAGTCTGTTTGTAATGATAAATGACCATGATCCGAAAGATGTTCGCATAGAATAGAAAATTCAACAATTGGTTGGAGCGTATTATTTGCTGATGATTGTTGACTTGTTGTGCTTGTGTCAAGTGATAATGTACGTTGATATTCGATTTTTTGTCGTGTAAATTCTTCTATCATTTGGCGTTTTAAAATTTTAGCATTGACTGATGTTGAACCTTTAGCAAATTCGATTTTTTCATAATGCACAGGACGAACAAAATCGTAATTTATTTCGACCATTGGACTATCTAAATCATTCATTCAGAATAGTGATAAACAAAATGTTTGTTCCTGTTTGATCCATTTGAGAGTCTTTCGGACAAAGAAAAAGTCATTGACTAGTACCAGAATAGTGCGCTCAAAACGTTTGCATTCAGTTTTGTCGGTGAATAGTGAAATTATCCTTGAAAAATTAGTTTAGACAACAAATTCAACAGTAAAACTTTCACTTTTAAACAAACCGAATTTTTGACTGAAATCAAATTCATATCGGCTCAATCGTTTCGTCCTTAGTATTTTGTTAAATCCCATTTAACCATGATGATACTAACTCATCGGCTAGTCATTCCAATCAATCACGCTCTAAACAGATGAATTATTCTCCTACCTTCATCATCATGATGTTCCATAGTAACATGAAAATTAGCATTATCAAAATCATCTTGATCATGATAATCTTGAATTTTTTCCAGTTGTCTTTCTCTACGTTGATTGATCAAATGTAAACATTCGAAATTTAATTCTGGAAAATTATGTGAATTAATCAGATCAGTTAATGGTCGCAGTTTTCTCGCTAATTGCATTTGATTGAAGCATTTTTCTCGTAAACGTAAAATAAGTGCACTTTGAGATATTCCAACAGACTTCTTATCACGTCCGTTATTCATTCCTGACATGATTTTCTCCACAGGTAGTGCATTGAAAACATCGACACGCATGCTTCGTTTTGAACCACTTGTACAAGCGTTTCCTGTTTCGCTATTAATTCTTTGACGTGTTGCTGGTGCTTGTTGCTGTTGAATAGTTGAATTATCCATGGTCGCCAGTTTAGCTGTATTAATTAAATTTGTATATTTCCATATATTAGGTCCAGCAAATAGTTTGAGTTTCGTTATATCAAAATATGAATATTCCGATTGAACATCTTTTGAATGCAATAAATTTGGCATTTGATCAGCAAATGAGATTGTACTCAAAAATGATGCCGACAGGATTTCATCTGGAGGTGGAACGCTTAACTAAAATAACGAAATAAAAGTTCTTGTTTTAATCTTTCATAGACTATGCAAATGAACATCCTATAAGAATATTCTCTCGAATGAATAACGAACTAGATCTGTTGCTCGTAAGCTAACGTATTTTTAACTTACGTCTGCTGAGTCTTGTGCTTGATAATTTCCTAAATTCGAATGCATACTTGATGGATCTTGATTGCTCAATTCATTCAATGCATTTTTAAAAACTTCATTAGTATGCGATGGATCATCATTAAAGTCTTCAATAGCCGCATGAACTAATTCATCATGATTATATCCATCGTCGTTGTCCACATCATCATTATTTGAATAGGATGATTTGTCAACACTTTCATCCATTTGCGCCAGACAACTTTCATGGATCGTATTAATAAATGAATCACTTGGAGTTTCATTGAATGAAAAATCCCGTAATGCTTGATTTCCTATAAAAATAAAATGTAGAGCCTAATTAAAATCTGAAATTCTCTTCGTACCAAGAGTATGATCGTGTGTCTCATTAATTTTAATAACATCACGTAACGAGACTAAATCAATCATTTTTGTTGCTGTATGATTGAGAATTGCATCGATTTTAGTTTGTTGTTCTTCTGGTCGATTGTTTGCATTGGTAAAACCGTCAATCAACGGATAATCGCTTGACGAATACATTGTATTGGAAACCATTTCAGCGTAGATAGAATCTTTTCCAATGCCACCACGCCATTGGCACATGTTTGGCGGTTGTAATGGACGAAATTCAAATTCGTGTTCGAGTGTTATTTTAGATAGATCAGTTACAACGAATGATGTTGCTTTGGCTTTAACACGACGAGATGGTTTCTTCGAATCTGTTTGTTCAGAATCCATGTTTTCGTTATCACCTTCGGCCTGGTTTTCGCCTGTATTGCCGCCATCATTTGCTTTTTGTTCTTCGTCGGTATTTAGAATATTTCCACTTAATTTCTGGGTTTCGTTGTGTAATGCATCAACACGAAAACCATAGATTTTAGCACTACAAAAGATAAATGAAATATTTTCAGATGAGAAGATTCTTCGCGAGAAATACAATGTATTGTTCGAAATGGTAGATTATTTTTCATAGGATTCTCTTAGATCAATAATAAAAATGAACTATTTTCTTCTCGCTCGAAACTAATGTATTAGAAAACGGGAATTTTGTTTAATCAACTTTAAGGTATTCCTGAATTTCAATTAGAACGTATATTCTATCATACCTAGTATCGATAACCGAACCAGCTTTGACAAAGTTCGGTCCTAAATGATGATGTTCCTTATCATCAAGTGCAATAGCATTTAAAACTTGTGGTAAACGTTCAACAAGTGGAATACTAAATGCATTTTTAATATTGATTTTTCCTTGTGTAGCTAATTCAAGTGTTTTTTGATATAAATCAACTAATTGTGTTGGCGTTTGAACTGGCTCATCATTAACGCTTTCAACATTCATTGAAGTATTAAATAAACGTGATTGCCTTCGTCCTGTAAAACTTTCGTCAAAAGAATTTTCTGTTTCATTATTATCATCAAATGAAAAAAGTTTCGTCGAACGACGTGGAGCAGCTAAGGACCTGAATAAAACATAAGAAACACAACATTTATCTTGAAGAAAAAGAGAACTTTTTTGTACCGTCGTCGAGCTGATTCCGGCATTCTCATGGTTAACGCCATTACTATTCACTTAAATGACGTCAATCAATGATTTTACTTATTAGATCGGTATGTTGTCTTTGTTCTTTGTTTCATCGTGTTGTTAGAATAACCAATTCAATATGAAGCGCTACTATCTATCTATTATAAAAGAGGAGAGAATATGATTTTTTTCGAGGTAGATTAATCAAAAATAATATTTATCGGCGACTTCCTCTTTTAAAGAAGGACTTGTTTTGGAGTTGCATGCATTCAATAAAAATTCGATGTATCCACAGAGATACTTGAACTAGTTTCGCACTTCAATCCATTTTATTGAGTAATTAGATAGTTTACTTTTCAAGTGAAGCTTCGATCGGCATCGATATCGATAAACGCCTAATCTACCATTGGCCTAGACCAGTTCTGAAGTAATTAGTAATTGATTGATTGCTACATTTTTCTCAGTCATTGACTCTTAAAACAAAGCATTTCATTCCGAAAAATAAGTGGAGTCCAATGCAATAAGTTACAATTAATATCATAAAGTATATTATCGGATGAACCATAACAACTTGATAGAAGATAAGTACCGGGTAGGTCTCTTACAATGGAATAAATATAGAAGATAGACAAAATTCATTCGTTGAGTATCATATATATCTTCATCACCATTCAATGTATCAGAATTTACAATGTCAATGACAGATGATTAACATTTGGTCCTGTTTTCTTGAATATCATAGAAACAAAGAATATAAAAATTTTATTTTACTTCAAATGTAACATTTACAAGAAGTTCTTTACAATTTCTTCGACAGAATGGCTGAGATATTGACAATGGAATGAACATAGCTTATCTTTACGAATAGTACACCATCGACATTGTTTAAGTATATGTTCCGGTGCTTGTGAACGCAGCTGATAATAAACTGGTCACAACCCAATCAAAAATATTTGCAGAAAAACCGCCTACAGTGCGATTTTGAAACACGACAACCTGTCTTTTACGCGAAGAAATTATTCCATAGTTTAGTGAAAGCGTTCATGAACTAAAAGAAACTTTCTGATTCTGAAAGAACGTATTCTTTGCTGTTCCACAATATCATGGAATGGTTTCTTCTCAGCTCCAAAAAAAGCTCTGTATGTATATGGAAACCATTCTGAACCATTCCCTAAAGTAAAGGAATGCGCGCATGTCCATTCTTTTTTCAAACACATCCCCAAGTAAAATTGTAGTTTAATAAGGAAATACCGAGTTAATTCACAGTTACCATTACGAATGAGTAAAAGAATAATTAAACTGCTATAAAGCATTTCGACCATCACTGCCGATTTCTATTTTAGTTAGGGGAGAAAAGATCAGATATTTAGAATAGTTTAATTAGATCTCGCAGCAGATATCGAATGACGCAACAGTCACAATATGAATCATTCGTTTAAAAAAAAGTTCTTATATAAACAATGAAAAATAGAAACCAAGAAAAACTAATTTTATCAGTCGATAAGATAATCGTCATATATATTTGAATTTATTTCTTTTTGATATTACTTTAATAAATAATTATCTTTGAAGACAATTGATGTTAGATGGAGTCTTTTCTCTTTTAAAATATTGGTTAAATGATAATTTAAGAATTCATTTGAGGAAATCCCATTATATTCAACGATGCTAAATCCGGATCATTGCCCATGATCCATGGTATATAAAGTGCTTCGTTGCCAATAAGTATTGGACAATGTGCATTCACTTTTGCGTTCGATGGAAGATCAATATTTATTCTATTTAATAATTGACCATTATTCACACGAAGTCGAGCAATAAAAATGGCTGAGAGACGTTTTCCTTGGCCAATTGAAGATGACGATACAAGAACATGAATAATATTTGTTTCAGCATTGAAAGCAAGACAATTTGAAATCAGATTATATTGATTGATTTCATCTCGAGAAACAATTTGAGTTTTCCATAAAGTTAATCCATGCTGATCAATAGCATACATAAATGGAAGAACAGATATATATGTTACACCTAATTGATCATTGACAGTCGGTTGAGTCGATTGAGCAGAACTTTGATGTGGTTCATTCCATTGCCAAAGCAAACCAAAATCACCACTTGCAAGCGCATCCCATCCGGAAACAATCACTGATCCATTCGACGTTGTACTGTGAAAATTTTGCCATACTCGTGCAATTACTGAGTGTCGTTGATCAAAAGAGTAAAACCGATTTCCTCCTGAATTAACATAAATATCTAATAAGCGTGTATCTCTACCATTTACTTTTCTAAAATGATCATCATCACCAATCCAATAAATTCCAGTTCCATCACTATTATATGTTGATTTTGAAGAACAACCAATTACTCCTCGGTCAATCCAAACGATTTCTAAACTAGTTGCATTAATAACAGCTATTGATTGATTCACAACAGTAGTAAATAAATAAACTGCAGAATCATCTAGTGACAGTGGAGCTTCTTCATATGGATAATAAAGTTGATTATTTTCAGCACATTCTAAAATAGGTTTATTTGTTTGACCATTAGATATTCTGCATGCTTTTCCTGACGATGAAATTCCATCAGTCCAAGACGATATAAAATAGATTAAGCCATCGGTAGTTGATACTATATTTGAAACACCTACATTTATCATTTTCTCAATAGGCTGAAGATATATTCTCCATCGAATTAATCCATTTAATGTCATACAAATAAAATAATCAGCTATAAAATAAAAGAAATGATATAAAAACATTTTCGCTGTTAGCAACTCTTATTCAGATAAATTTTAAATTATGTATGAAGTTTTAATACGTATTGTGGTCAAATATATGAAAAGATTAGTTTCTCACCTGAATGAGTCAAATTTTCACTCATAAAAAAGTACAAATCTCCATTAATTCCAGCTCCTAGTCCTTGTATGGCATTTGCTTGTGATGAACCATTCGAAATAAAATACCAGAGTTTTCCAGTATAATTTGTTGGTAGCGAAGGAATTATTCGACGGGTATTTGAAGGATTTCCCATTGAATGAATCCATTGATATTCATATGCGTTCTCTTGTCCGTTATTTAATTTAATGAAGATCGATAATGTAGAAACAATAATAACCCACGAATACATTCTTTTTTTTTATTTATGGCATATAGTATCCTACTTTAAGACAGATGTTTTTTGTTCTCAGGTATTTCTTTATATAGAACAGTGCTTAACCAGTAATGATAATGTCATTTTTTTGCATAGCAATCGCTAAACATGAAAATATTGTTGTCGTCATTCTAGGAAAATTCTTAGGAATGCGATGTCAATTTACTTGAACGGCTAAGATGTAGATATGAGTGTGGCTGCATATCTAGCGAACGCTCACACCCTTCAACACAATTCCATACTGCCATTCTACGTAGAGAATATCAACAAAAATCAAATTAAACTTAAAAAAACTCTTGAAAATGCTACAAAACCTACAGAATAAACATATTATATTAACAATAGTTGAAACTAATTAAAGATACTCTATAAATTTCATGAGATTCTTTTAATAATTTTCATCATATTTTTTCAAACGACGATAATCTCTTATTATTTCGGATTCCAATCCCATATCTTTCACTTCGCGAAGATAATCCAATGATAACGAATTTTCCTTAACAAAAATTTTTCAAATTTTATAAATTCGAATTAAATTAAAACAAAATGTTTGACTCGTTTAAATTTTTCATCAGTTTCAAATACAGAATTTATTTGACAAGCACGTAAGATATATTTTCTACATTTAAAATTCTAAATTCTATCAACTGAAATATCTTCGTCTGTCGATTAAGTGACTCTTTGATAATCATATGAATACTAATTACATAGGCAATATCAGAAACAACTAAAACAAGATTGAAATATGTTTGCTTGAAAACATCAAAGGGGAGTTGTTTATTAATAGCTATCGATGCCCTACTGTTTCATATTTATTTAGATTACTTAAATAAGTACGTAGAAGTTAATCAATTATTTTAAGCTGTATAAAAACCGAATAAATTATATTTGAAGACCAGAATTCATAAAAAAAATTCGTGGCGTTATATACAAAAATATAATAGATTAAAAGAGTGAGGATAGACATTGTTTGAAATCGTCACTGTAAATAGGATTCAATAGATTTTGATAATGGTTCATCTTAAATCAATGAATGCTAATATCAGCGTTAGTTGTAGAACACAACTGTTCATGCATAATGAAGCCCATGATGAATAATTAGGAATTTACAAATACAAATTATCCTATTAAAATCATATCATTTTCAATAAACGCAATTTTATGCTGTTTTTACTTCGGCTTGCCTCTATGCTACGCTCAGGAGTTTTGATTTAAAGAATATATCAAACAAAATATTGATTAAAATCCATCTTTATGAACAATAGATTTCTGATAGCCTTTGACGACTCATCTTCAATCTTCCAGCTAGCATCAGGCCATTTATGACTAATCTATCTAAAATAAATCCAAAATTCCATCTGTTCCAAAGAATCGAACTTGGTATAAATAATCATGGCAACTATCCTCAATATTTGATAAAATTAAATTAAAAATATCTCCTTATCTTCATATTTTTATTTAATGTTTTTAGAGCTTTCGGTAAGACCTAAGCCTATATTTATGTACCTACCTATGTATCTATCTTTTTATTTATTTGTACGCCTAATGATGGAAAATTTCTAGGCTTGTCCCAGAGAAACCTATGCGAATTTATGCAATCTAGTGTAACTATATCAAACATGAAACGATTAATGGCTACGTCTGTATCAATAAAAAATTTTATTGGTGCAAGTTTTTTGTTCTTTTTCAGTCATGATGGTTAAAGTCAACTTGCTTACCGTATTCAAGCGGGGAAGTAGCTCCACAAAATTTGCTTATCTCGTTCATTTTTCCATGATTGATCGCAAAGAAAAGATTGTGTCACGATATGAAATGTACTACTTTGCTTTTTCGAAATATTTTCTTTGTTTTGAAGATATATTGTTTGATACTAAGTTACGCATACTATCGTGATAACGTTTTGAAAAGAAACGAGATTGAAGCAAAGAATACGATGATATCGTTGGTAGAAAATGAAAGAGCAGCCATTTTTATCAATGTTCGTTTGATGAATGACTATCAGAAGATAAACGCTTTTGTTTGAAATATTTCTATTGCCGAAAAAAATAACGATCCAACAGTTGAACATCACATATCAGAACAATGAAAGCAACAACGCATTCATTTAAGACTGAAAAGTCCTCTCTATAAATCAATGTCTCCTATATTTAATTTTGAGATTTAATGATGAATTTCGCTTGTTAATAAAGTACTGTTTTGTGCCAACTCAGTTTCCAGCATGTATAGAAAATATGCGTACTATTAAACAGTATATCTTTAAAACGAAGTTATACTTCTGTGTAGTGTAAATATCATATAGTGGAATAATCTTTTCTTTGCGATCAATCATGGAAAAATAAACGAGCTAAGCTATTTTGTTGAGCTACTTCCACGCTATAAAACTCTACGGAACTCGACTTTAAACATCATGACTAAAAAACAGAAATTGTGTAGCGAAATATATATAAGTCAATTTTTCAGAAAGTGTTTCACCGATAGTTTTTTATTGGCGTATCTGTAGGCGCTAATTGTTTCATATCTGGCATAGCTACACTTGACTTAACAAACCTGCATAAGTTTCAATAAAATTCCTGGTGCACAGCTGGGGCATTCCTTTGTTAGACAGGCTGTGGGTAGGTATGGGTGAACTTCGAAAGTTGGCCCACACCCAATCTAGGCAATAATACTGATACAACAGCTGCTATCTATCTATTATATTGATAGAAAAGGTAAGAAGAGATTTGATTACGACTGCCAAAGACATTGATACACCAATGAAACATTCAACGTATACTCTTCCACGAAATACAGAAGCCTTTGTCTTCAGTTGAAGTCAACCGTTATGATATGTCATTAACTTTTAGAATAAAAACAAATTATTATACTTAGCCTCCGGTTTTATGTATGATGTAGCGAGTAAATCTCTCGGAAAATGTCATACTAGGGAACAACATCGATACAGTTTGTTTTTCACTATTTTTCTACCTTGAACCTTCGCAATACTATTTACAAGTGCCGAGAGAGAAGATCCTGTAAGAGACATAGCTAAATACGATGGAGGTTAACTTTATAATCTACCTAGGACGTTCTAAATCCTTATTCAATTTGGAGACTGTCCGTATAAAAATTGCCATTTTGTTTTAATCTTTATTTCGATACTAATTGAATCCAATCAACAGCACATGTTTGGTGATAACCCAATTTTTCGAACAGCTTAAAAGAAGCTTGATTCTCGCGCACTATGAAGCAGAAAACACGATCTTGCATTTTGAATAATTCTGAGGCTAATTCGATATTCAAGAGTGCTGCGAGGCCGAGTCGACGAAATTCCGGCATAGTGAATACCATTCCAAAAGAACCATCGAATTGTGTCAAACACCAACTCACCAATCGCCCTTCACAATACGCACCTATGGAAAAACAAAATACAAGAGCAAAAGTTCAATGTCGATTAATTATCCATTTTAATTTACCAAAAGCTGGCAGATGCTCAATCTGAAAGCTAATTTGAGCGAGAGAAAAGTCGGATTTATATATCGAAAACTCGTCGATCAATGATGCGTCTGTTGCTGACAAACGTTGAATGGTAATGTCTGCAAAATATCGTATCTTGCATTTCACAGCTATATTTATTCATGTGAGTAACAGCGTTTACCCGATCGTAACTGCAATCCAGTTTGTTTTTTTGTCTCTTCTAATGTTTTCTGATCGAGTTCCACTTGCAAACAAGGAAATATTTTAAAATCACCCGCAAGATTTTTGTCTCGAGCGAAATCTTCAATAATGGTTGAGAATCGATGAGCGATATCGCAGAAAAAAATTGTTTTTACATTGAACAACGGCATACATTGTTCGAGTAATGTTATAAGTATCTCATTGTTGTTTTCATCTGAAACAAAAGTTACATTTCTGGCACTTGATGCTATGTCTTCATGTAATAGATGAGAATCACTCATAAATCCAACAGTAGAGTACACGAAAACAATACATTTGATACAATTTCGGTCATTGACAAATAATTGATGTGGCCAGAAATACTTTCGATCAACCAAACCTCGTTGGACATAATTGAGTAAAGACCATATTTGAAGTGATTCTGGTAAGTGTGCTTCCTAGCAGTGACGGAAATTGATTGAAAAACCAAATAAAACGAAAAAAGACTCACCAGAAAATGTAAGACTATTTGAAACGACTCTTCATGAGACAAATCCATTTGAGTTGCCATCGTTATGTTGTCTTGTTATTAAAAAAAAGAATCACAAATTTTACACCATACTCATTCTTTTTTCGTTCTTATCTTTTCTCATGCGTCATGCGGTTTTATTCTGATAAATCAAGGTTAGTCATAAATGGCACACTGATCAAATTCAACTGTGAAAAAAAACAATGAGATGACTACGCAAAATATATTTATATTCAGAGATTATTGCTTTTTATGTCTTGAATAGCTCAATAATAGTGACCTCTTTTAGTATAGCAGTAGAAGCTTCGATTCAAAAATGAACATCATTATGGATTCAATGGCATTGAAACTAATTATCAACTATTTTTGAGCGGTAAGATATCTGTGGGCACGCCTGTGAGTGATTAGATGTGTATGTATGTATGCAACAGCACAGTTTCAGACTACATAGGTTGAACCAGCACGGTTCATTACGATCTCATATGAACTCCATAAACCTTGGCCTGGGTAAAAGCCTAGTACGATTATTACTTTGAGTGATATCTCCAATCAAATAGAATATTTGGATAGCAGTCCTCGTCTCATGTTTTTTTCATTTTATTAGCCAGTTAATCAAATGATTTTGCCAACGTTACACCATATTGATCAGACTGAGCATTCAAATACGATCTGGTTACATAGTATCGATATGTGATAGTTAAAAAGAGATTTCTAGGTGATAAAGCGAGCAAAACTTTTGTTTCTTTGTTTGCTAATCAGTCCATTATATTTTTACAATGTGTTGAAGACTATTGTGACGATTTTAGACACAAGAAATGCTTGCGCTGACGGAGCTACGCTTTATTTAGCTTCTTCCTATCACAAATCGCATTGTTTACATCCACAACACGCGTTTATATACGCAGCCAAGAGAGAGAGAGAGAAGGAAAAGATAGGCATAGCAAAAGAAAGATGAGAATAACAGAAAAGATAATCATGGGAGATGATATATATGTTCCGGTCAACAGAATAAGCAACAAGCTAATCTTAGTTATAAACACATGAACGGCAAGATATATGTTGAATAGGAAAAGTCAGAAGATAGAGAGTGATGTATGAACACTCTCATAATAGAACGTCACAACTATGACTCAGATTTTCTCAGTTATTCATGTCAAATTCACGTGCTTAACATAATTATAACCTTTTAGTAGAGCGTTGGTGACTAGAACGGCGCATTAGTTGTAATTAGATTGAGATATATAACGATAGAATGGAACATACTTGATGATAAACCGATTTAAGTTCCATTCAAAACAGATCGTATGATGACTGAACTTCTGCTTATATATTGTCAGCACGCCCTCACTAGCAAGATATTTTTTGCGTCATCTATGCTTGTCAGTGATTGGTGTGGGGAAATGAAGAAACATATATATGAGTTATGCATCACGTGAGTCGTAATAGACATCATACTTCTTTTGGTTTTTTGTAATAAAATGAATAACTACGATAGACGTATGAAATAAAAACAACGCTCGTTTTCGTACTTGCACGCTTAACATGAGCATGATACGATTTATTGGACGGATGCGACACTACTTAAGTAATGTATCTTTTAGGAACACCATTCAGCTATTTTCATGCAAAAGAATAAAACAGATGTAGAAAAAATAGTGGATTTTCCTAAATTGATTATTACACCCAACTGAAAGAAAATAACCGGTGCCATACCGTAAATGAGCTTTTCTAAAGGATCTCTTAGTTGATTGACAAATCAAAGCGTGACATGTTCGAGGTGATTGCTGAGATCTAATCGAGAGGGAAAAGGATCGATATTGGATCAAGTTAGACTACTATGTTATGAGTCAATCGTTGGTAAATTAAGGAAAGAATATTCTAAGAATCTCTGGCCTGAGTTACATGAGCTTATTATGAACACGAATGATCATGATGCAGAATTTTTCTTTTTCGAAAGCCAGTCGAAGCAAAGTTTATTCTGTGCTCTCGAGGTATTTCCTTCGAATTTCTAAAATTTACCATTGAAACAAACAGCGAAAAGCTCTGGAAATCGATAGAAGCTCTGTTTTTTTCTTTGGAAATCACAACAACATGTATGATTCGTAGTGTTTTGGATCATATGGAAGCAAATAGAAATTATGACATAAACCACTTTAGGGTTTTCCGCAGATTAAAGTCAAGTGCATCACGGAAAATAGAACCATTTGAAAAATATTTCTTAAATTGTACTCTGTTATTGAATCATCTATGGATGTTTCTTCAATAATGCATCTTTATTCATATTCTCACATTTTTATTTAATGTTGCTTTTTGTAGCCGAATTAGGTCAACATTCGTCTCATAAAAATAATCATGTCCGTCAAATTGTCAGAGGTAAGTTTTACTTATTTTTCAGTTTAACCATATCACTTGAAGACGAAGGAGTGGATTTAGGCGATGTTTCATCTATATAACTGTCTTTAATTTATATTAAGATAAACAATGGCTCTATCCTCAATACCATGATAGTCAACGTATAAAAATAAAGAGGCCTGATGAACTTGAACAAGAAATGAAAGATCCGCCTGAAAATATCGATAAATCTATACTGGATCGTATTCAAGGTTCAATGTTGGGTATGGCTTTAGGTGATACTCTGGGTGCTCCTGTTGAATTCGAGCCTCCTGAATATTTAATTGAAAATCCAATCACCGATCTTCAAGAAGGTGGGACTTGGGGTCTAAAAAAGGGACAGGTAAAGATAGTTTTTCGAGGAGAACGAACAAAAATTCATTCATTAGTTGAACATATTATCCACGAATATTCGTCAGTGAACCGTACACATAACATTTTTTTCCATTTTGATACTGTTTTTAACAACAAAGTATCTATTGTGAGAGAATCAAGGAATTTAATTTTTTTATAAAAGAAGCTGATTTTGAAATAATTCTTAGTCAGCTTTCATAAACAACAATTCATTAGGCACATTATCGCAGTAGTTCGTTTTGATTTCAATAATAGGATAAAGGAGCCTATATTCAATTTCATTCTATAGTTCACTGATGACACGTCAATGGCTCTATGTCTAGCAACCTCGTTGATAGCTCGTCAAGACTTTGTTCTTTATGATCAATTGGTGCGGTATAAGTGGTGGCTCCAAAATGGTTATATGTCATCAACAGAAAAATCTTTCGATGTAGGTATGGCTATATGTGATTCTTTATTAGAATTTAAACGGCGTCAGAAAGTTTTTGCCGCCAAATATCAAATACCTTTCGAGCAAATGGATTTTCTCGCTGATTTTGATCTTCTAAAAATGTTCGATGTGTATTGCAGCAATGATGGGGCTGCTGGTAATGGAGCTCTTATGCGTCTAGCACCAGTACCACTTTTCTTTTATCGACAGCCGACACTTGCTGTTGAATATTCGGGTCGTAGTGGTCGAATCACTCATGGCGATCAAAAAGCGTATGATGCATGCCGATACTACGGTGCACTTATTGTGGCTACACTTCAGGGTGAATCGAAAAACGACATATTAAATGAGAATTTTTATCACAATCATAAATCATGGTTCGGCAATAAACCGCTTCATAAAGATATCGAAATGATATCTACCGGATCCTTTAAGAAACGTGGTGGTTTGAAAGAGGGTATCCAAGGCATCGACTATATTGTCAAGTCTCTTGAAGCTGCTTTGTGGGCCTTCTGGTCAGATGAAAATTCGTTCGAAAAAGGTGCTCTCTCTGCTGTCAATCTAGGCAATAATACTGATACAACAGCTGCTATCTATGGTCAACTAGCTGGTGCTCATTACACCTACCAGAACTTACCCAAAAAATGGCTCAATCATCTTTATGCACAGAACTTTATGCTATGTTTGAGCAAATGGATTACGTATGAAGGAAGTATATGGAATTCAAAATATGAATCAGGTGTTATAAAAAAGCAATAGGACGAACACTAAACAAATACCAACTTGTTAAAAATTGTCTTTTAGTTTATATTTTCATTTGAATAAATAATTATGTAGAATCATGGATTTTCCTACTCTGTTCGAAAGTGAAATGAGATGCAGGAAAGGTTTTTGAATCATCAAATATCTCTTATTTTTTTGAGGAATATCGCTTGCTTTCTATTTCGGCAATAAGTGACTAGGATACTCGTGGAATAATTTTACACGAAGAAAAGTTTCTTCATAACAATTTTTATGTATTTATTCGATTGAAAAATAATCCCAGTTCCATTTTAGCGTGCTTTCGTTGCTTCAGAATTTTTATTTGCTTACCTATGGTGCTTGTACTTAAGAGTATAATATAGAGACCTGACAATTTTTTTCTTATTCGTCAAAGTCGATTGCTGGAGAGCAAGAGTTCAGATTGGCTGATTGACCTTGTCTGCTTTGTCAAAAGATAGCTGGATCTACTTTTGGATCGATATACGAACACTCGCATCGAAAAGACAAAGAAACCCAAATCTCAATCTAGTCCTACAGACTTTGCTAGATAGACGTGGTGCTTGTTTTGTGAACGAATTAATTATATGGGTACATTGTGGATATCGTTGAAAAAGAATGGTTTGTTTCAGAAGGACGCATAACGGTAAGTACTGGGCAAAAGTGCAGCATAAACATGACTGTGCATGTCAGTCAAGTTTCTCACCTTCGCTTAATTCTTTTCTTTTCAAGCCTTGCAATAAGTGTAGAACATGATGAAGATAAAGGTGTCGACACACATATTTGCAAGCCATCGAAAGTGCAGCATTTTAACGATTCATTCTGACGACGAACCATCTAGTCAGTGCGTGATAAAGCATGCGCTCACACAATTTACGATGTCATGCATTCGCCGAGCACCTTATAAAAGATGCGAATCTGTAAGTTACATGTAGTCAAAAACAATGACAGCTGACGGTGGTTCTAAAATCACTCGTGATATAAGTGCTAGTTTAAACTATAGCAAAGCCTTGCCTTCCAACAGTTCATCAGAACAGTGGTTCATCAACATCAATGCTTCAAACAATGGAAACCGTGACCAGAATTTTGAAAATGACGTTATCCAGACCACCATACACGATATACGAGGCCATGAAGCGGAAACACACATAGACGTCACTGGTTTCCAAGCACTTCATTCACCAAGCACAGTCGATGCTGATCTCATTCTCAATGGAACAGACGAGCAATTCAAGGAAGCATATTATGGTGAGGTTGAACAATTGCTTAAACGCATCACAGGCGCCAATCACGTTGTTTTTTTCGATCATACCATACGTAAAGTGAGACCAGGTCAGCTGGACGATTCACCGTCGAATCGTCAGCCTGTGCAACGGGTACATGTCGATCAAACGCCTATTAGTGCTCATGTACGAGTGAAACGGCATGCATCGAACGTCTCATGGAAACGCTTTCAATTGATTAATGTATGGCGTCCATTAAAGAATGTTGTCTATGATTATCCACTCGCTGTGGCTGACTTTCGTAGTATCGATGTGATTAACGATCTTATTCCAACCACACTCATCTATCCACCTCCGACTCCCAATGGAGAAACCTACTCTATAGTTCACAATCCCGAGCATCGATGGTGTTACTGGTCAAATATGACACCGGACGAAGTGTTACTCCTGAAATGCTATGACAGTGCTAGTCGAGCTCTCTCGATAGTAAAAATGAGCGCAGCTGAAGTGGACGAAACGCTATTGAGCGATGTCGCTGGTTTAACACCTCATACTGGATTCTACGATGTTGAAGGAGCAAAGATGGGACCAACTAGAAACTCAATTGAAGTGCGAGCGCTTGTTTTTTATGATTAGAGGCTGTCATTTTCTGTTTGATGAATTTTCAAAACATCATAAATACATGTTCTAAATTTATTACTATTTCTTTCTTTTCCACTCTTTCAAGACTCGTATTTCAGGCAAGGCGAGAAAGCATTTTGTGAAAATATCTGAAGTGATCAACTTAGTTGATGTGAGATTTATTTTTGAATTTTTTTCTTTCTACTATCGATAAGTATATACTGCACTATTGATACACTCTGATCCTGTAACCAATGATAACGAATAACCATTGAAACGAAAAGACAAATGCTTATCACATCAAAACATCTCAATTATAAAATAGAAAACAATACTCCGTTATTAGAAAATTTAAAAGAAAGAATATCTGGTTTCAAAATAGATTATTTTTCTACTAAATTAGTAATCACTCAGTTTGGGTGTTGCTTATATACTCAAATATCATTATGTCTCTCACTTGAAAGTAGTTTAAATATTTATCTATTGAAATCGACCGATACTTATTTAATAGTAATATTATTTTAATTCTTTCTGCCTCTTGTAAATTATTTCTATGCGAACAAATGCTCTTAACACCAGTAGTGTCCAACTTGAAACTTGAATTCAGTTGAAAATAGAAAATTTCAACTTTCACCTTAGAAAAATAAGTTACAGTGCCAATGAAAAGTGCAATAACGATTACTAGCTCAACGATACAAGAAAATATTTCGATTTGAAATTTTAAAACACAGAGAAATTGCTTTTTGAAGTACCTCAAATGAAATAATCATTTAACTGATCTATTGTTTTACTTGACACAGGATGAAATTTCTGTTTCATTCGCTTTTATTTCAATGAATCTCATGGTATTATCGTCCAAATTGAAATTCATTTATAACTTCAAGTAAAATTTAACTATTTTGTTTTTGAAAATATTTCTATTTCGATTCTCAAACGAAGGAAAAAAAATTGAGTAGTTATATTAACTCCGGTGTATTCTTTGTTTGTAGTCTTCAGTGTATCATTCAACAATCTTTACGTGGTGTCTCTATTTAGTTATGCTATTGAACAATCGCATGTTTTAATAAGTTCAAACAAAATAGTTAAAACAACTTTCTTACGGCTGTATCATTCGACATTATAATTTTAGGATAAACAGAATATCATATTATTATCTTTTTAATTTTTTTATTTCGATGCACCACTAATTTAAGTTTATAATGGGATGGGTACATATTCAGGTGAGTTAAAATCGAAGCTACTTGGTTTAAAATTATCTTTGACAATCACGATATGATTGTAAATGCAAAAAAAATATAATTATCTAACGAGAAGAATATCAACTTGTTGAAACGGTGTGGGCGTCGGTTCAATAATTCTCTGACATCCGCAGCCACGCCACATCCTCACACAACTACACCCATTATTGAACGTGGATACCACATAAATGAAATAGTGGTTACTCTACCGTAAAATGTAAAAAATAAATAAAATTAGTAATCGATCTAATTCTTTTAAATAATTCACCGGTTATTTTAGTCTTAAAAATGCAAGCTAATAAATATTACTCATCAAAACTTGGAGCATACAGAAAACTATTTGCTTGTTTGAATTGCATTAAAAAGTATTCTTCTTGATTTTGTTACTCTCAACCATTGAAATTCTCCAATCTTGCTCAACTCGTGATCGCTATGGCAATAAACTGTTTGCACTATTCTTTTCAACAATGAAAGAATGTTCGAAGTTTTAACCTCCTAGTATTTATTACAATTATGCAAAGTTTATTTGGATACTTTGGTTTAGTTTTTAAATGTTTAGGCACTCATAATTCAATAAGAGTAGCATTGGTGGAATTCAGTAAAATATCTGCATATTCTTCGATTTCATGCCTCTGTCAGACATCTTTCTATGATTATTATTGAAAATAAAATCTTTTTTTTCTGTAAAACTTGACCACGTTTTAAAATAGATTTACACTCATATTCAGTAAAGCATCGCGGAAAACCAAAGTCGATAAAATCTTCTGAAATAGCTTGCTTAATTTGGTTCAAAATTACTAATTCTTAAATATCATCATCCAAGTACGTAATACTAAAATAACCACATTTTGTACTAGAATATTTTCTTTAAGACGTAAGAGACTTAAATTGGGTGGATGCTAATGATGAAATTTACCTGATATGGAGGATATGTGTCTGTGATTCTATTGAGTCGCTGACAGACGTTACGAACTGGACATAATATCGTGAAGACATCGAGCTTCTCTGGAATCCGATAGACAAGCTCGACAGGTAATTCCAATAAAGACGATGGAGTTGTATTAGCCATCAACGTTACTTGTGTTCGAATAGTGTTTTTCGTTGCAATGAATGGATGTTACAATTTTTCTTCTGTACACAAACTTGTTTATTTACAATGCATCTCCAGCCTTCATCATCGTTGTGCAATATTTTGCGTCCAAAGGAAAGTGACAAAAACGCAGCACTGTAAAAGCACGAACAGAACGAATTGGTGAAATAATGAAGCGACATGCGAGATTTTTCGTCACCATTGGATTCATATTTAAGAAGTCTTTTTAGCATTATAATGTTACTTATAGCTAGGCATGCATCGAGTCGTCATGTTCGATACCGGGATTCCCCAGTCTACTGATTCACACACTTTTCGCCTTGCTGAGCCTAACATACAGTTAATCTAATTTATCAGGAATGGATACAATTAAATGAGTTTCTTTCAATATTTCTCTGGAACTCTATTACAACAAATCACCGAATAGCTCGTCGCATGGAATTGATCTTTCTGATAGTCTAAATAGGGATGTATCATGACTATGATTGCCAGTGAATTACCGAACCTACGCCTTCAGATGTTACAAATATATTTCGTTTTCGCCAAAACAAATGTCACATGTTAAATGCTAAGTCATCATGAATAAAATGATCATAACTGCGACACAATGTTTTGAGGATATGAGGTGTCGATAGATTTTCTGATATGACCTATAAAGCAGCCATACACTTTTCTTTTCTTGAGAAAAGCTAAATTTTGATTTTGGATAACGTTCTACACTGTTTTATTTGATGAATATTTTTGACCGGGTACAAAATCAGAAATCAAGTGAAAAACGAAGAAAATGATCATTATGAAGTTAATCAACGTAGTTGTTAGATCCATATTATAATATTGTGAACATAATATAAATCTTTAATGACCAAACATGTTGACGGCAAATGATCTCTTAACCATTGAATAAGTTCATTATTGTTAACTTGATCTTGTTCAGGAAATGTCTCATCATTGTTTCTCGTTAAAAATGTAGCGTTAGAATACATTTCATCACTCTGATAAATATATAATATTCGAAGGTTGATCATACTTTTGACGAGAGTAATGATGTTTTCATGATTATTAACTCGAATAGAAAGTACTTCACATTGAATACCCAATGATGAACGAGCTAATAGAAGACACTCATTTTCATTGAAATAGTGAGCGTAATTTTCTAAATCTAGTTTACGAATAGATGCATTTGCACGCTTGAATAACGACATTTGCATAGACAATGATGCATCTTGTCGAATAGTCAGTGTGGTTAGATGAGGTGCTCGATCTAGTATAGCTTGCAATTCTGATTCGAACATATCATTGTAGTATACTAGAGTCAGTGTTTTTAATTTGTTTAAATTTGGAACAATTGACCAAAATCGATCATTGATGGGCAATCTTATATGAAGATGTATGATATTCGATAGATAAATATTCGACGGCATTGGATGATTGAAAAATGTGATATCACTAATTACAGTCACGGAATTATAATACTTTCGATAATTATCATCTGAACATGTATATTTGCATAGGCCAGAAATTGTTTCGTACCGATCAGCTTTGTTAGATAGAGTATTAAGTGAAATGACAGATTCGCCGATAAAACATCGAACAAACCATTGTCGTTCAGAAATCCAAAATGAACTGCGAAATGAATCGAGTAAATTCTCAGCTTCTTCTTTTATAAGTTGTTTGTTACGAGAAAACAGTTTCATTTTTAATCGAAATATTTTCAGTTTCTGTAAGTAACTACGAATAACATGTTCCCAATGATCACCATCGATTAGGTTGTATCTCATGTTGATATCTAAGTGACGTAAATTAGGCGTACTTCGTAAGAAAAATGTCATATTCGAAGCGTTTATATGATAAGGAAAATATAAACGTAATTGAATGAGTTTTAAACGTCGAGATGTAATATGATCAATGTCTCTCAACTTCATAACTATTGCCGAAAGACTTTTTAAACGAGGCGTAAAATAAAACAATTGCTTTAGCTGATGTGATGACAGTTCGTGGTGAAATAGTGTTACGTTTTCGAGAGATGGGGAGATAATTGTTGGAGGTGTAAAACTGTATGGTCCTGGAACAATATTGCGAAAATGACAATCAGTAAGCTTTGGTAAACTCCAAATCTTGTCGATAATCAATGAATAATTAGTTTGTACTGCTAGAAAATGGCAATGGTTTACATTTAAACAAGTAAGACTATCGAGTTCATGACATTTATTTAGGAGTTCTATGAATACTTCGTATGAACGAAGTTTCTGTATTGTTAATAATCGTAAGCAAGTCAATGGGCGGAATGATGGTATATAAGAAACGAATAAATCACATTGCCCTACAGTGTCGTAATTCGATAGTCGAAGAGCAATGACTCGATCAGCAAGCAACGGCAAATGTTGTTGACATATCAGATCGAAAGTATGTTTTGACACCGACATAAAGTCGAAACAATAGGATTGAATTTGTTTGTAAAGAAGCAAGTTGAAACGAGAATTGAGACCATAAAATCCATGAAAAAGATCTGTGCCATTCAAATGAACAAATAAACCAAGCAAAATTTCATTTGGTAAGACTTCTAAATACATTATGTGTGTTATGTTTTTCACCAAAAGTTAGAAACAAATGACCACAGAAATGAAGAACGACAGGCAACTGGTCATTGCACAGGTCATGATCGGTTATTTTAGAAATGTTATCATGCCTAGGCCATTTCGCTTGCTGATCTTATTTGGACTAGACGACAGTAGAAGACAGAGAGAGAAGTCATACAATAAGAAGATGAACAGTTGATTCGAACATTTAAATAGAATAATAAGGGCTTAGCACTGCGATTTTTGATCGATTCTTAGGCTTCAAATGAAAATATTAACAGTATATACGGAACATTTTTTAGAGATTAAAAAATCGTCGAGAAAAAGAACTTTTATTGATTAAACTTTATAAAAACAACAATAAATATATCACGTATCAGATGCAGTGTAAAAAGTTCTACAATGTGATTAAATAGAGCCGAATTGTGTTTTACTCACACAAAGAAGAAAGTGCTGCTCGACGTTTGGCATAAAATTTCGAAATACCTTCCTATGCATTTTATTCAAATTCCACTAAAATTGTATCAGGTATTATTAAATATTAAACCAGATGCAGCTGCTAGCTCTACTATTTTTGATATCTATACAAAGGCACTTATCCGTGGCGGAGCTCTTAATCAAAAAGTGAATATTAACAGCGTCATTTGACGTACCGATGGGATTATTGGGGATACGTAGAAAGAGCTGTTCAAGCCGCTATGTCAGACGGCATTTTGATATTCCTGAAGACGCCAGAAAATATTTAGGATTCTGAAATCGAGAGGGTGTGGGTGTGATGAACGGCAATACCCTCACCCATCACTAGAAGAAATTTATATTGTTGCTCTGTGTATAATTTCACAGCGAATACTTTGTAAATTTTAAGTGTACCTATCGACGTATATTTAATTATCTAGTACTTGTAAGTAGTTGGCTGCTGATCTGAATGAAAGTACCACGGAAAACCGGCATCCTTTCATTCTCTAAGAAGCATTATATTTTAAATTGCTTTATAGGCAAAATTCTTTAGACCTAATTTCATATTGTTTGGTGAAAAGCAACTTAGTTGTGCATTTTCTATATTGTAATTGGAAAGCTGCAGACAATTACGTCAGCCGTGCAGATTCAATTCAATTATTTCATAAATTAGTTTGGAACGTATTGAAAATGAATGAGTAAGAAAAATATTAGATTAATGTATATATCATTCCTTTTTCAACAACTAAATTCTGTGACAAGTTCTTTTTGAAGTAACTCTCAACCTAAATTTCATTTAAATAAAACCAAATTTAAAATTAAGTATAGTTTAATACTAGCTGCGTCTATATAAAAAAAATGAAGGAAATGTTGATTACCCGTGCAACACAGAGTTTTCAATTTATCTAAACAACGGAGATTGTTTTGTTTTGATAATATCATTTATGTAATATTAATTATTTAGAATGTCAAGTTGAATTTTGAGATAATAACAAAGTTCTAGCTACTTCTTAGAAAAAAATTACGGCTCACCCATCTCTTGTTAAAAGTACACTTATTTTCTATGCTGTTACTTAAACATAATCATCATCGCATATAGTTAGAAATAAATGTGGAAACTTCGGATTTCATCCGAAAGTTATGTGTACTGCAAAAAGTGCATGGGATGTATGAGTCATTCTAGAATGTCTGAACACCAAAATTATCATGAGAAACTAGGCAATTTGATTTCTGGATGCAGTTTTTGTGCATTTTGAGACGTTTTTCAGGCGATGTTTCATCAGAAAGCTACGGTTTAGCTCAAAACTAATATCAGATTCGGAATCAGCGTTAAAAACTGAGTCGATTTATATATGTTGTGAATAAATCTGAGAAAGATTTATTTTTTGAAAAAAATTCCCTGTACTCCTCCTCAGGGATGACCTGGTCAAAAATGACAATTTTTTCGATAACTCAACCATTTCTTGAGGGATTCTTCTCATCTTCGAACTCGACCGAGATATTCATGAGATTGAACTGTGTGGAAAATTTCATCACGGTCTGACTCTCCTTTCGCAAGTTATCGTGCCTACGGCCGGACACACTGACCGATTCTAGAGTGTACTCACTTTTTGAGTACACAAAAAAAAGAAAAAAGATGTTAAATTACACCTAAGTCAAACTAGAATGATTGTTGCAATGCTATTATTTTCATAGTTCATTTCCATGTATATCAATAAAAGAAAATTTTCTCGAGTTCGTGACATTGATTTAAACATTTCAGTTCGATACCTCTCGTCAATAAAATACTGCAAGATAATCTACGAATATATGTACTTATTCATTTGTTAACATTATAAGTAGACATGCATCAGTGTAAATATTCAGTCTTACAGCTCCTCCTTCGAGAACGCAGAAGCCATCAATTATTTCTATTTTTCAACGAATTTTCCGTCAGAAGAACAATGATCAATAGGGCACTATTAGCTACGTGAAAGAAACGGCAATGTGTCTATTGCTTCCTTGTTTTACGAATAATCAATTATTCATTGTCGGAGAGTAAAATACAATTGAATTTATTATGAGAATGATTCAGACATGACTGCCATTGATTAAGACATAAAATGCAATAAATCAAATATTTATTTCGTAGATTTAGAAAAAAAAACAGGAAAAATGTCTTTAGCGAACAGTTTGACAAAATTGGCAAACATTTATCTTGACCTTTCTATATTAATTGGTGGTACTTTGGGAAATTTACTTCATATTTTTCTTTTTCGGCCAAATCGTCGTAATTCACGTGCATTTCTATTCTTGTTCTCTTCATTAATGAATTGTATTGCCTTATTTTATGGTTTATTTGCAAGCATATTAATCTGGCACGAGCAAATTGCTTAGCCAGTATTTTTATTTCATTTTCATCTATTAAACGACGTTTAACCAGCAAACAATGAATATTTTCTTGTGAAATAAAATTCATTGAACTAACAGCTAATAGACTAAAGTAGAAACAAAAAACTGTTGTCTGTAACAAACTCTTCATTCGATGTTTCTTCATTTCACCTCATTCATGTGAATTAATAAAGATCATAGTCACATAGTATGACTGACCATCCGATATCCATAAGTGAATGCATAGTATCATAAAAAAAGGATACGTTTAAAGAATATTAAATATCCAAATAGAATTAGAGGTTGGGTTTGTTAAGATTCAGTAAACAGATGAGGTCATTGACATGGCTCATAGAACAGCCAACGATACATTAACATGCAGTTGCTCCCTTGAGCCATGACTTTCTATATCTGTGAATATTTTTATTGAGCTTATTTAACTTCTGTTTTCTTTATATTCGAATAGTATTCAACGCTCGCAATAGTCTTACCACTAATTCTCAATCTGCCCTGGTGGACAAATTGTATTACTGTATTAATGGCTGTATTAAATAAATTATTAACTGAAGAATCAACAGCAAATTCATTAAAAATAATGATATCCACACATACCTCTTTAGCTGGAATTTTATTATTTATTCACGGGGGAAATGTATTCCTTTTGTTTGCTGCTTTCATGAGAAAAAGGAACATTATTTAGATAAATTTATTTTTATGTTCAGTATCTGATATTAATAAACAAAAACTAGACAATTTTTATGTTGAATATTTCAAATATCATATGCCGGGAAATCTTAGTTTGCGGCAAATTCAATTTAAAAAAAAAAGAATTTTTCACAAACTCCAAAATTACAGCAGTATACCGGTGTAGCGATGTAATGAGTGGACTAGTTGTATATGATTTGATGAGACTTCGAAAATATAGGAAATTATCTTCGCATCAAGTTCAGCAGCTTTGTCTTGTGATTAGTTTCTATAATGTTTTGTTTTGATATTGCATATTTATTTGTCATTAAGGTGTTTCGTTGGTATAAAAATGTTTAGATGTTTCGAGTAGTAACTTAAGCGACATACTCTAACTTGTCTAGTTACGGTTTGATTGAAGAAATGAAAGATTTCAAGTATGATATTAGATGTGTAATCGTATAAAAAATAAATGTAGCTTTGCATATTGACTGGAGAGCAAATGTGTAAAATTTGAAACTTGAATTCAACCGAGTTTTCAAGTTTCAACTTTCAAGTTCGTATTATATGGGCGTAAATGCCATTATACCTGCTGGGGATGCTGTGTGAGGGATATCGGGTATGGGTTTGTGTATGGGCATTGATTACATATTCATCTACACCCACACCCGACACACCCTCCCTCTTTTGGCACCATCAACTAGCAAAGAGGGAAAATTCGGGTAGCAATTGTGCTTCGATGTTGCAATACTTTTCATGGGTATAAAAGCACTGCAATTTCTTTCATTTTTCATCTCATTTTCAAAAGAGAAAAGCGCACTTTAAAGCGTTCGTTCTCTTGAGGTCGACAACCGCTTACTTCGAAACAAAATTGTATCAAAAAGTACTGCGATAACAATGCGCGGTGTCACCATCGACTCGATGGTCTTTTAAGATTTATCTTGGCTCGTTGGATGGACACCGCATCTTTTTTCTTTCTTCTTTTTTCTCTTCTTCGGATTGACAGGCCTACTTCAATGCTATCTTATTCTCCAAACAGCGACTACGCGGTCGGCTCTTCTAGAGACGCTTGGCATATTCATATGTGCCTTTTGTAGTGGAGACGAGATTGTGGCTATTGAAGTAGTAACCTGCCGGTCCACTGATGTGATTTGAGCGAGCATGTTCTGTTTGTTTAGTAATGATTCAGACATGAAACTCGTTCCATTTCATTGGATCGGTAAGGTAAAACAAGTAGCAAAAGAAATACTAAAAAATCATGATTATTTATTTCTATGTGACAAAAAAAGATAAGTTAATGATTCATCTCAAATGTATTTTGTCGTCGAATACGTATGGTTGTTGCTTTCATTGAATGATACAAATCGTAGGTACTCCAATGT